TTTTAGGACTTCCGGGTAATGTTTAGAAAAGTTTTTTGTTTTGGACACGACATTAGAAATTATTTCCAAATTTGCACTCTTAAAATTACATTACATTGAAATGTGTCTTTCATAATTCCTGTAAAAAAAAAATCATGAATTAATTAAGATTTAAATTTAATAAGCCTATAGTTTAAATATTTAAATTAAGAAATATGTATGACCCAAAAAAAGTATCGATTTGTGATTGTTAACTGGTTTTATCTCAATATGGGACAGCGATATATTTCAAGTTGTTAAGTCAGGAGGGGAATACTACGTCGTCTTGACTTATGTCAACACAAACAATGTTAGTGATAGTGAAAGCAAAACATCGGTACAGTGTTTGTTTAGCCGTCTCACAATTCTGATCCACCTGTGTTCTAATTTATGGACAGTTCCATAAGGTGTTGCAATTCCGTAAATCATCGATCTTAGATCTTTGATTTAATATCTTATGCTCGCGAAAAAGTTTTAAGTTACTTAAATAACAAAGAAAATATATTTAGGTCCTTTTTTTTGAAATCGTATTAATCCTATTAATTAATTAAATATCGTAAAATACCTTCTTTCAGATTTTTTATGTTTCATTACTGAAAATTATTATCGTTAGTGTGGTCATGTTAGGTGTTTTGTTTTTTTTCTCCTCACCTAAAGTTGATTGATTGAAAATTTTATGACTGCAACTATAACACTATAGTTTTTGTGTTAATTATTGAAAATTTATAATTTGAATGAATTCGTTAGTATTTTTTCTTTCCTTCGTTGGGAAAATATTGTCCCTCACTTATCTTTTTGTATATATACGTATAAGTCTACATACAAAGTATCTGTATAGGGCTGTGGTATCCTTCATTATAAAAAATTTAACATAATATAGTTTTTTATTAATTTTTCATAAAATTAAGAAAGAATTTTGTCTCCTAAAGAGACACTACTTTATAATAGACCTTATTAAAACGTAATGCAATTTCTTCATCGCAATGACTGTTAAAAATATGTGAATGTTTTTAACTATACAAATTTTGAAGGTGTTGAATAGTTTTTATATATTTTTTACTATAAATACATTTTAAATACCCAGTTAATTCATTAAAATTTATCCTGTTTTTTATTCATTTATTTATAGTATTTAAAAGACCTTTGTAAGTCCCACATCTCGCCTTGTGAAGAATTTCGTATTCAATAGGTAGGTAGGGATTAATGATTCACAATTATTCACTAATATGTACAAAAAATATATATTCATAAAAGATATTGCATAATATCGTGTTTTGACCTAAATAATGTGAATTATTACGTACGATGTTAACCAGATGCAGGTCACATAGGCAATGTGTATATAAAGTATTTCTTTATCGACATGCGCCCTTACTACAGGTATTAATAAAGCTTAAATTGCCTTTATCGTCACAACTGACTGACTTTTATTTAAAGTTTTATAAACAAAAGAGACTATGAGATTTTTTTTAATACATCGTTCTTAGTAATATCACGGGAATATTATAAATATATAGATGAGGTGCACTTATCGTAAATTCCCATGGAATCGATCTCTATTCGACCTACTTATGGGGCTCTGGCTATTTTAAACTGATCACAACAGCTGCATTCGGTCTACAGCCACAGTGACCTGGTTTGAACGTACACCATGCTTTGTTCAGTGTCTTATAAGACATTGCTATTGAATAGAAAAAAATATATTAAATAATTTCTTTAAAGCGACTTGTATTTTTAATGATAAAAAACGACTTATTTGAGTAATATAATAATATAGTATTATTGTAAATAAAAAAAATAAACTCATACTACTCGCAAGGAAAAGCTATGTTTACGTTATTAATAATTAATTTAACAAAAGGATTTTTTTCATACTGCAGTATATTTTTTTTATTGTTACATTATACTTTTTTCTGTAAAATTACAATAAAAGTCTAGGTGATAAATAAGACTACCAGAAATCTTTACATCTGTTTCGCGAGATATCAATACGTCACACGCTTGTAAGCAAACATTTAGCTTTCTAATCGTTCAATTATCTAGAAAACTTCGACAATGTTCCTGTTCCAAAATATCTTACAAATGTTGTGTTGTTACAAGGAACTAATGCGTCTGTTAAATTACCGAAAAAAAATAATTATCGGTCTTCCAAAGGTCATAGATTTAGGAAAAAGGTTTTAGTTTAGTCTTATACCTGATTTATTTCAGTAAATATCAAGTAGCAAGTCGTGCAACTTATTTTAAGATAAATTAATCTTTCAATGGTGGCATATTATAAATTCAAAATAATGTCTATTCTTGGAGTATTAGTAAATCAGTTTTATCAGTTCATTAGTAATGAAGTTACAGTTTTAATGCTAGTTTACGTTTTCTGCTGTAATAGCAAATATAACTCTAATTGATATTTAGTTATGTCAATAAAATAAGACAGCCCACCATAAGATTTAACCAGATTATAGTCATAGTGAGAGAGCTATGATATCGAGGTTTCATTGCCAAGAAAATTACATAAAAATATCTGGAAGCATAATTTTTAACGTATCGAATCGATTGTATTGAATATCTTATAATTCTACTATTATATCCTTCTATACCTAGAGTTACCTAAAAGCAAGTCCTCACTCTGTATTCAGTGCACACTTATTTTAACGTATAACTTACATCTTTACCAACTAGTTGTATGTAACCTGTTGGTAATGATGTTGTGTTGATAAGATTCCCATGGTAATCTGTAAAAATGGTAATCTGTAAAAAGAGACACTTTTGTGTATCTCACATTTTAAGTTAAGGAATCTCGTTATTTTATTGTATGGTTATCTTATTTAAAAATGAATTTTAGTTAGAAATAAGGGATGGTTAATGCGAATATACTTTTCATCAGTTACAACATTAAAATTGTATTATATGTAAAACAATTTTAGCACCGAAAGATTCGTTTGTTAGTATTAGCCAAATTGAAGCCAGGAATAAAGTATTAAGATATTAAATTGCATTTTAATTTTTTTTTATTAAATTGAGTAATATAATCATCAGAGTTGTGTATAAAAAATAGTTTGGCATCTGTTTGAGTAAATTTTTCATTATGAACTTTGATGAAGCTAATTTTATGGTGGTCATTACAATTAAACAAGAAAGTAATACTTAAAGTGACGAATAAAACGCTCATATTATAAAACATATGAGATAACACATCGATAATAAAGAAAGAAAATGACGGAACTCCATATACCAATAAGGGCTTGAGTTTTTAACCATATGATTATACATGAAAAGCTTATTATTACTGTTTTAGTTACTTAAAAAATATTTCAAATAAGTATACTATCAATATATTTATTTTACGGAATACCTAAGTTATGACTTCAATTTTTATTGAACTTTTTTTAAAAAATGTTTTGCACGTTTTAAAATAGGTTCTTAAATATAACGTTGATTAAAATATTATTATAAAAATATCCGATGGAAGTATAAGATTAACTTTAATATTTACATATTCAATAAAAAATATGAATAAGTTCAACGTGTTAAATGTAAAATAGATTATAAAATATAAATATCAAAAGAGATAAAAGGGACATAATATTTAAAAAAAAGTTTGTCTTTTTTAACATACGAGTAAAAATCTTATTGAAGTGCCCTATAAAAACGACAAAAATGTCGCGAATACAACTGTCTTCTGGTAAAATATTTAACAGACGATATTTTTGTTCTATCATATGCTCTTGTTGAATTAGAAGAAAATCTTCTTTAATTCTCTCTCTTTCTTTCTATTAAAGAGATTTTAATATAATTTATTGGGAACAACAAATTTTTGAAGATATTTCCTTTTTATTTATTTCCATTTAAATAATATTACTTATAACATGACATTATCTCGAAAGTAATCATAACGTCCGCAAAAAGGTAAATAGTGAAATACGAGCGAATAATACTAAGAAAAAATTAGTTTATTTTAACAAATTTCCTGCTTCGGTTTGCTCTTTTCGTGTGCAATATTAGCTTATAAATATATTGTTATTAAAGAGAACCAGATGATATTAAATCATTTACCAAAAGGACCGTTTGGTACTAGGCCGTAGAAAGTAATAGAAACTATAAAACAATTTGTTCCTACATAGGCAGCGTTAAAGTTGCCGTTAAAGTTGTTAAAATGTCTTTTATGACTATAACTATTATTAAATAAACATCCCAATTCAATGTGGCCACGCAGATTTATAAAAAAATGGAGTATGGAAATCATATAGCCAGTTTGAATTATGATAATTGTATATAGTTAAATACTTGTGGCTCGATGTTATTGTATGTCACGAATACAAATTTTTGTTTAACGTTGATTAAGTACAGAGTATGCGTTTAATATAGCAAGGTCTAGAAAGGAAAATAATGAGTTAAAGTAAATTTTAAAGAACATATTTTTCTACTTAGTTATTGGCTTTATTTTATTTTTTGAGAACTTCAATGAACCAATTGCATATAATCCATAAATTAATATTGTCAGTCAGATTTGTTTATGAACTCATTATACAAAATCGCAAAAGTTAAAGATTCTATAAATATTCTAGTTAGATAAAAATATTCGATAGTAAGTTTTTGCATAAATAAATAAAATTTAGACTATTTTAAACTGCGTCCCTAAAATTTTATTAAATTGATTAGTTTTATAATAATGCAAAAAAAAACACTTTTCCTATTAGCGAGCAAAATTTTATCATTATTGTTTTAGATACCAATTAAGAAGACAAACTGTTAATTCAGTTTATTTGCTCAAATGTAATACGACATTAGTTCCATACTAATCTCTACGTAAATCCAGTTGGATAATTTTTCACTTTCAGCTTATTGTCTCAGAGCAGGTGGATAATTGATCGTGCAAACATTCGGAACCGTTACGCAATGCATTTTTTAGGGCCCGGTGGTGGCAGTCAGCGCTTTTCAGATATTACAGGGCGGGTGCGGGGTGAGAGCGGGATATGACGTTCGATTTAAAGGGTAGGCTGAGGGTGGTTAGCTGCAGGGCTGTTGACGGGCGGCCCGCGCCTGCGCCTTAATACCTCCAGGCTCGCCGCCGCCCCGTTTCCGTAGCGTTGACAGTTCGCCAGTACTTCCTCGATATCGCGCGTCGGTTGCGCTGCGGTCCGGCGACACAGCCATCGGCTACTAGGCCCCCGCTAATGGGCGATTGACGGACATTAAGCACACGTAAGTTGCATTTCATGTTGCATTATATGTTTTTTTTTTTTGTGTTGCATTACGTTAATTATGTTCCGTGTGCCAGTGTATTTTGTGTTTTTTTTTGTGTTATTCGTGTCTATTTTTGTCGTAGTGTCCGTGTTTGGTGTTTGTTTGAACTAATTAAATTAAAGCTTTTGTGTGTATTATGCGTTTCAGTTGTTTTATTTCTTACATTTTTCCTAGTTTTTTTGTTACAATATATGAATTTTATTTTATTATTCATCTTCCTTTCATCCTTTGTTTTGGTAATAAAATAAAAAAAAATGAATAAGTGATATTTGTGTATACAAAATATGTGAAATAAAAAGTAATTTATTTTTTTATGATACTTTTTCTTATATAATTTAATGTTATATAGGATAAAAAAATTAATGTGTAATTTTTCACTCATGTGTGTTCCGATTTCCAAACAAAGCGGAATTGAGATACACTAACATAATAATCAACTTTAACAAAATTTATGTTTTATAACTTGAATCAAAACATAATTTTAATTTATTGCAATTAAATATTTTGCTTTCGTCGAATTAATTGCTTATATATAAAAATATGGAATACTTATATATTATTAATAAATAGGATTATAGTTGTTGTTTTAATATCAATTGTTGTTAAAATGGATTAGGATGAATAACAGATGATTCTGTAGCCCATTTATCAAACGAAATGCAGGAGTTAGCATTCAGTAGGTTCTGCGCATGTCTGGTTATTTACCCAGATGTAACACGTAAAATACACAATACTGTATAAATTATTAAAAACATACATTTTGTCTTAATAGATGTTCAAGGTCATTTAAAAATAGTACCTGTCCAAAAAAATTTTAGAAATATAATGCAAATTTATGACTTTTTTAAATGGAAGTTAAATGAAAAAAAAAACAAATTAATAAAATCGATATATATAAGAATTACAGATATAGAACTACGTAGTAGTTATAAAATAGTAGGAATAAAACTTCACGATAGGCTTTTGAGGCAGTGGACGATTTGGACTGCGCATTGTCATGCGCATTTCGCACACCGTTATGTAAATTAATGTATGACAGAAAGAGAAATCTTTTGGCATTAACGTATAAACATAAGACATTAATTTGCTGATTCTGTACTCAAGTAAAACTCGAAAAATACAACATATGGTATACTAGGCATACTAGCCTATACAAGTATTGAAAAAAATAGCGATAATTCCTAAATAATCCGCTCAGGCTCCCCGTATTCGGCGCTACTTTCTTTGTAATTATGCCCGTTGGAAATTTTATTGCGGCAATTAGTACGCAAACGGTCATCCGAAGAGTGTAATGTAGTTATTTCTTTTGCAATTCCAGCGATTGAATAGTTTCAAACAGATCTCGTTCTTATTAAAATTTTAAAATATTGTAACAGTTTTATCAGTAAACATTAGAATAAATCCAATTAAGAAATCGAGATAACAAAAACTGGAATGGAAAATGAATAAAAGTGAAAGTATCAAAGTATTACTAAGACATAATGAATTATAGACTTGGCAAGGATTAGATTCTACGAATATATGCAGCTAATATGATAGAGTGTAAAGTATCTTTAATTCATTACAATTATTGTCATTCATCAAATATAAATTGAAGTTATGAATGTATAATATCATGATAATTACAACCAAAACTTTATAGTTTGGGAACGAAATTGAGATATCAGCTGATAGCTGCAGTGATAAGAGCGATTAGATTATTTACCTACCTTGCCTTAAACAAAACACTAAGCCCTACAATGGTATTGAGTATTTTTTTAATATAATACTCGTATGTTACACATTTCATTGTTTGTGTATGATTTATAACAAGGCATGATAAATTAAAAGACGTAATAATGCTAATATTATCTCTTAATATGATGCAACAACATATTAAATTGTAAATTATTATATATTAATGAAATATAGGTGCTGATTTAAGACATGTTCATAGCAACACGGACAATATATGCTTTTAAACAAATCAAATAGTTTTTCCTCAATATATAAGGGACTTGATAAATGCCATAGTTACACAAACAATTTACCTTTGAATTTAAATTATAATTCCATCCAATCAATAAGGGAACAGCCTAATTCTGAGGCGTTATCATAATTTACGTGGCCTTGCCAGTGTTGATAAGGACGTCGACTATTGAAATTCTTACTGTTCTTTTAGTTGTTGCACATCTATTTAAGAGTTATAGTTTACTGTATATTTGCTTGGTAATTTTATTTTTATTGTATCACAAATTATTATTTACTACTTGTATTGTAGTTGTAGTATTTGTTTCCTTTTCTATGTCAATAGATTTTTGTATTATGTTAATACATATCTATAATTTTAAGTAAGATTCATTTCATCAACTTGAAGAATATAGCTTTGTTTACAGTATACTACAACTTTTCTATCTATATATGTCTGAAAGAATGAAAATAGTTGTCTTTATGTTACAACGATTAAGGAAGTAATATACAAAATCAAGGTCATTTAATTTTATTGTCTGTGCTCGGCTTGAATGCTGCATCATTGTTATTTAAGTCAATCGATTTGATACAATTATTATGTCATTGCAATGAATCTTCATATTATTTGGTTTTGATTTATGCGTGTTTTTAGTTTTTTTTTGTATAAATTTTTTAACAGTTTAATTTAACCCCCGTTTAACGAGTTTAGTCGGAAGTATTCTTAAAAATGGAACGAGACCAATATCGCATTTTTGAAACGACTTGCCAAGCTTTTCGTCACGAACCATAGTAACCATAAATCTTTATTTCTATTAATAAAGAACGTGATTTTCCGCCATCATATTTTTATATTCTTAATATATAACATATATTGTTAGAACGCATGAAGTTAATTTTTTTATCGAGGTTATATGTCAACTTGAGCTGAAATAGTAGAAATTAGAAGAACCTTGAGACAACGTAAATCACGGAAAAACTACAAATGCGATACATGCGTGTGCAGAATCGGCTGCAACGCCATCGACGCCCGTGAGGGGCGCCGCTCTAGCCATCTTTTTTCATTTTGCGTGCGTCTTTTTTTGGCAGCGCGCGTTAACCTTGGATTTTTTCATAGCGAAGCGCTGCACGTACGCGCACAACTCGCGAGTTTCGTATAGTCGTAGAGCGTCCCCCACTCGGCGCGTCCGAATTTTCTGCATTCGGACGGTGTGAGGAGTTTTCGGCGGTCGCATTCGCGAGCGAGGCTCCCGGCGGTTAGGAGCAACGCGGCCATACTTGAGACACTGCGCACAGCGCACAACGGCGATCGGCGCCAGCGCGCGTTGCAATATGCGGAAGTGAGCATGGACATCTCCAGCACGGTGCTAGTGTTACGACAGTGTATGCACATTTAGTGATACAAACTATGATATTTGTGCATAGCTCGATTAGAGCACTTATGGTTTTGGTTTAAATAATCACAAGGACTGTGGAATTTGTCATACATGGAATCGAGGAAAGTATTGTTATTTTAATATAAGTACAATTATTAAAATTATTGATTCAAATTTGACTTAGGCTTAGGATCGTACATTTCGATTTTGAAACTTTGACAAATTTGTTTGAACACTTTGAAGTATATGATAAATATTAAGTAAAGTGAAGGATATTGCAGATTACGTCTTAAATTGTTAGACTCAAAGGATACTTTTGCATAGTTCAATCTAACCTTCTTGGTTTTGTATACACGTGCTGTCGTTTTTGGGGCTATTGAACTTGATAATAAGACAACCGTATTTCCTCTTTTTTTATACACTTATATTGCATCACTAAAGTTTTTGCAATATCTACGGGACCGGTTCCAAAATTTTCATTCTATCAACGTCGTTCGTCGTCCGCTGTTAGCTCAATGAATTAATTTCAACGACAATCGATTGAGGTCCTGCGGATTCGTAAAACATGATTTTAATAAATTCACCGAGAAATCAAGTTTAGCAACGTTCGGTAATAATTATGGGCGTGAATAGACCGCGCAAGTAGGTAAGCCCGGAACCGCTCCGTGGTACGAAAACTGGTCTGGCGACGCATTGACATTTGCATAGAAACTGTCAATGTGGCCCTGTGGACTATTAGCACCTACTGCGGCCGCAGTCGCCACGGACTGGCGACAGTGAGCTACGACATAACAGAACTACTAAACTACTCTCACGCACTGCGCACTGCCGGTTCCATATCACATTGTACTAACCTCAGTTTAGGGTCACTGTAATTGAGACGGCATGAATGATGTAGTATCATGTTAATTCTGTAGTGCATTTTATGTTAATTTAGAATGAATATTTATGTATGTAATACTAAATAGTAGTACGTAATTGTTTGAAAAACTACGTTTTAGAACACCTGAAGCGTAGAGCTGTTATTAGTTATTAAAAAGCAAATATATTATATTGTCTGGTAGGAAGAAGCACAGGCGAGTAGTTATGAAGGTCGCGTACAATTTATAGCTCCTACAATTTTTCTGAAGTACCAATTGCGTTCGCGACTACTGAATATGAACCAATAAGCGATGAGCTGGTGACACTGGTTCGAAACGCATTCATAAACTCTTTTATTTATTGTATAATGAATTGTGCGTAGTACCATTAGCTAAGTAAGTTTTTCGTTTATTTAGATATTTATATTTTATGCTATGTCTTCAAGTATGTACGTAATCACATATAATTTAGTTAAGGTATTATGTATATCATTTGAATGGACAAAATATATTGTACTTAAATAAATAAACAAAAGTAAGGATATTGTTATGTACTGTGTAACACGATGTTTTTAAAATAATAATTCTTATTTTGATATATTATGAATGTGGTCATATTTTATGATTATTATAATCTTATCTTTTACTTTTCCTGTACACGTTTATTTCCTAAAATAAAAATCAGAGAACTATTACAAATAACATGCAAACCCAAACCAACAGGCATTAATTTTCGTTCATATTTACACTAAACATATAATTGTTTAGTAGCTTTCCATAACGTTTGACTACTAATAAATATTTAAATCTTTTACTTGTAATGTCAAGTTTCTAGATAGGCATATAGATTTTTCAAACTTAGTGAAATTTTCGGCTCCTCTGGGAACAATCGGGTGGCAGAGGGGGTGAGGATTTGAGAGGGGAGGGGAGGGGTTTGCAAGGACAGCCCTGAGGGCCTTCGAGGAGAAACAAATTCGTAATTCTAAGATCTTATAAAATTCAACCTAAGCGATATGCGTTTGCATGAACAATTTTCTAATTCAATCATGTTTTTTAAAATTATGGTATAAATAATTTGATATGAAAATGTTTCATATTTTTCAATTACTACAATGAAATTCAAAAAATATTTCAAATTAACTACTAGTAGATCTTTTGTTATTATGCCGTGTTGGTCTCCTACGTTTATGAAAGGGACTCTTTGTTAAGACTTACGCGCCTAGGGTCATAAATGGCTTTCATTTAAAGCTTTCAAAATGGCATAGGAAAACGGGTTTAGTCTCCCTGCCACATTGTTTGGATTTATTAAATTGTTTGCGGCATCGTAACAATTTTAGTAAACTGTTCAATTTAGAAAGGAAAAATAGAAATATATATAAACCTACATTTATTTTAAATAATTATTATTATAATAAGATGATTTAAAATCTCTTATAAATCTTCTGAATTTAAAAAAGTTCTTTAGTATAGAGATAAATAAATACGTAGTCCCATTTCACTCTGTACAGTGTAACAATTCAATGAAATTTCTTTTGCTAGATAGCGAAGTTTAAAATATGTGGGGTAGTACAAACACGTTTTAAATTGGGCCAAGGACAACTAATTGTATACATTAAAAACATGGTATAAGTCCCAGACAGATATAATATTCCCATAATATAGGTAAAAGGACGACTGGAAGAAGGTTATTCAATTTTAAATAAGGTGAAAATATAGGGACAGATTTTTAAATAAATAATTTATTGGCATCCCAATTATAAGGAGTTTTGTGACATCAATTTTTCTTAATTGAATATCTGTTTTAGATTTAGAATTTTGAAGGCGAGCGTATTCAAAAATATCTTTGGGAAAATTAATATGTTTAAACTTAGTGGTATTTATTAGGTAATTAATTATAAGTTTAAATAAATTTCAAAGGAAAATATTCGAAAAATAATTAATTTTCAAATAATATAAAAAAAATTAAACCTACCCTAATTTTTAGTTTAGTTATTGAGTAATAAAATTATAAAATATTTATGTCACTAATATTTTGGGTTGTTATTTAGAAACTTTTGTTTTTCATTCCTCTTTTCATACATAAATTTCATTTGGTAGATTCTTTGTAAGTGCCAAACTCTGTCTACTCAGCAGAGCGTGATGCGCTTGTACCTGATACCTTATAAAGAGACTGTATTAGGTGGAGGGTTTTGTTTATAAAAGGACAAAGAGATGAAGGAAAACAAAACCAGGCAGGTACCAATTTTAATATCAATACGAGTATCTTATATGCAATCTTCTAATATTTACAGTTAAAATTAGCTTCTTTGTTAGATCAAGAGGCCTGCAGGCTGCATCAAAGTGAAAGGCAATCATACTGCACGTCGCGCATGCTTTGTGCGTTCTATACGATGGTTTAGGCGCGGCTGTCATTTTTTCTCACGGTTGGTTGAATTACACGTGACTTAAAATTTAAGATATTATATTTTAAAACGTACTGGTGCTCGTACGCATTGCAACAACATGCAACTTTCTATTTGGACGATCCCCCTCCCCCACCTCGCTGGAAAAGCTGCAAACTAATAGAAAGTTTATGGCCTTTTTAAAGTTATTTCCAAATAATATTTCGATTATATTTCGTTACCTATAAACTGTAGGTAGTCTAAGCTTAAACCTAAATCTACTGTTACTATATTTCTCTAAGGTAAACTATTGTGACATAGTAATATCAGTCTCACTTGTTATATCTATAACATTTTGGTTATTATCTAAAGATGGGTTCATGATTTTAAATAAGGTAATAACTGCATTAGAGACGCGTTCGAAATTTAGAAAACGGGTCTGCATATGTTTCGACACGGCTTGCGTAATGCTACTACGCCCTTAGAGAGCCGTGGAAGGTAACGTAGTAAGGAAGACAGCTATTTCCTACAAAGATTGTCGATAATATATTTAAAGGTGGGGAGACTTTGCGATTGATTAAAAATTGGATTTGAATGGGTAAAGTGTGTTCGATAATTTATAACAAGTCTTTATGCCGAGTAATATTATAGTATAGATATGAATTTTGTATCACTGATATGTTTTACACAAACCAATTTTTTATGTGTTCAAGAAAAGAAGTGGAAGTTTTTACTCATAATCTTTTTTGGTTGTAAAAATATTGGTATAAATTTAATAATGACTGTAAACATTCGGTTAATCGCGTAATAAACCATTCTTACATCATAACATCGTTGTAAAGTTATGAAGTAGTAAAATTTTCTTACCGCTTTCGCTCTCTTAATTAATACTTTTAATATACTATTCCAACACTTTTTTTAAATCTATGTGCTAAATCCTTTGTTCTTCACTTAAATGATCAGTGATGATTATTTCTATAAAGATGATGTTCTATGGCATAACTAATATTTTATGATTCTGTTACTGCTTGTAACGATACAATTTTAATGTTATTGCTGTGAATTCAATCTCATTACACAATCATTTCCGCCTAACGGCATCACAATTGTAATATAAAGAGTGCACTTTATAAGTATATTGTTGGAACGTAGTTGGTTTTAAATAAATTTCACTATGAACTATAGATATTATGTTTTAGTAAACTTGGTTGAGGTATTATTAGGTAACTGATAGTTAAAATGATGAGTATAGAAATGAGCATTTTCTTGTAATATTACAAGTTTAAATTGAATTGTTTATTGTATTTATTAGTGCGCTGTTAAGATTCACAGCATCTAGTAAAATCAAGACGAACAATTTAATTTTGCTACTTAGCGTGCTTGGTTAACGTCTATTTTTAAGACTACTTGGAGTAATACAAAAAAAAATTCTGAATTAATGATTTGTATTATGTTATGGATAAGAAAATATATCACGGCTTTAACGAGCCTCGCGTGTCATGAAAGCTTAACATTGCTTTATGAAAAGGAATTAGATTGTGAGTGTACTTTTAGTTTACGATTCAAGGCCGAAGTTTGAACGAGTTACTTTTTGTGTACAGTATATGTCATTGTTACTGTTCTCCTCCACATTTAGCTGTTGCTAAGTCCTTATCTTCGCAGAGAAATGTGATAGTATGAATGAACGTTTAAACTGTGGAAATTAATCTTGTATACCAATTACGGTATTTAATTCTAACAGTTGATTAGTCTGTAAAAGTTTAAGCATTGATTAACGCAATCAATACTCGTTCCCATGTCAACTTTCACATGCAATTTGATACGTTTGCGTAAACAATCACGACATCCACAGCGCTATCTTATCCCGATGTGACGTTATGGGGGGAAGGGGGGGGGAGTGGCATAGGTCTTTGTGATGTCACCGTTCACAGTCGGCCTTTGTATGAGATAATTATCAAAATATTAGAGCATATAATAGATGAATACAGAATTGTAACGTAAATTGTTACTATAGAGTAAATAGTAGAATACTAAAGTGTGTAGATGTTCTGATTATTTTATATTATTTATATTACTATATAAATTTCAAGTCAAGAATCTGTGAATCAATATTTAAAATAAATAAATGTACTTTAATTTCTATATCCGATTTAGTTTTGAATTATTTATAACATATAATAACTATTAAATTTTGAATTCAAATCATAAATCTAAGTTGCATTAAAATATTATTAATACGTTAAAAATATGAATGAAATATATAAATAAATGTCTCCATAATTTATTTTACGGCGGGTTATAAGCCACGGTCTTATTCAACAACAGTAAATCTTTGATGACGCATACAGCACTTATCACGATATTGTGACACAAAAAAATGGGTCGACTGCATGACGCAAAGAATAATGAATCGGGTAATGCATCTGTTCTAATTTAAAACATTTTTTAAATGCTTCACTACCTTAGTTCTATCATTACATATAAAGCTTTATAGTGCTGAATAAACTAATATATTCGTAACATGTTTTATCTTTAGCACAATGTTATGTAAATTTTCAACGTAGAATCAATTTCTCACACATATCTCGTATGCGAACTCTAAGTGTAACATATCTAAACCCAAAGTTTTCCCACTTACACATCTATAAAATTTGAATAGGGAACGGCGATGATTTTCGCGGTTCGTGGAGCGTGTTAACCCAAATAAAGAGCGGACATTGGAATATCTTGATGCGGATATTGTTTTTCTATTCTGAATCTTATTTTCCCTTTGATTTTATTTCATACACAGTTATAATAGATAGCTTGAAAATAGAACTAATGCAGAATTATATCATTTATACGTATTTGCACTTCATACCGAGAATTTAACCTATATTCAAAACAATTAAAATCAAGGCCCAAAAGGCAATAAAGCAACGTCATATTCTATAGCACCAGCTATATACATATCTACATTATTATTCTATGACGCTCTGGCGAGTGGTCGTTGCCGGCACTTTGCGCAACTCGGTGCAATCCCCCCTTCCCCCCACGCTAGTACGCTTGCGCGTGTGCTGCATTCCGGAACCGGGTCGTAGCCGAAATTCCTCTAACGCCAGCCTAAATTGGACTCCCCCCTGAACGTTTAACAAATAGGCATAATAAGCCGCAACGGCTCTAAAAATACTGGTAGGGTATACGTGCACGCATGCAAATGTACAGTTAGGCTGTAGCGGAGTGCTGGGAATCAAATCGATACTGTATCGAGTGCGCTCGTGCTGACATTTCGGCAAAATGGTTCGAAATTATATAGACAGGTCAGCTTTACGGTGTTCTCGAAAGAGGTAAATCTTTATTATTATCATTACTTTTAATATTGTTGTTATGCTCGATTTTATACGCTTCCTTTTGGGTACTGAAAATTACTTTCATATCAAAAATGTTTTAGTGACAATAGTTCCTAAAGAAATATATATTTTTAAAGAATTTTGTGTCGAAGTACAGCTACATTGTTATGCTGTAGTTTAACTTATTTCTAATTAATAATTCCATTTTCCCTAACTTCAAATCGATTTCCTTAAAATATCTGCCGAGTATTGTCCTATTTAATTGTTGCTACCTCAAAACACTACGTGGGAACTATCAGCTGCTTCATGTATTAAAAATGTAAGCTCCTATCCGGGTCAGTTTATAGTGAAATTTGTATCAGAAACGAATGTGTTAAAAGGTAATAATAGTGATTAAAATTCACTACGTTTCAAAGACCATACCATATTAAAAATAAATGAGTTAAGTCTTGAAAACTTAACATGTTTCTCTGAATATCTGTTTTAATATGTTGATTATATGAATTAAAGATGGTATAAATTTTATATACTAATTTAGTTTATCATCACAACAGGGCAGGTATACGAGGCGGCCCGGGCATGGACTCCCAACAGCAGCAGTACTGCCTGAAATGGAACAGCTTCGGCTCCAACCTGGCCACCTCGTTCGCGAACCTCTGGAACTCAGAGAGCCTCGCAGACGTGACTCTCTATTGCGAAGGTAATTCAACCTTATCCCTATACATTAAGGTTCAATTTCGTGAGCTCGTCGCTCAGATAAATCAATAATTCGTATGCATTAAACGTGATTCGAGTTACAAGTTATAATTATAGGCAATTTATAGGCCTCCACTCCGTTATAACCTTGTAAACTGAATATATGAAAATAATCTTAATATTAATATTAAAACTGAGTGTTAGTTAAAATTTATTTATAATGGCTTAGATTTATTATTACAGTTCAAATTAGGTAATTATATTTTTATATTATGAGTTATCAATAGAAATTCATATTTAAATATTTACGTAGGCATATACCAGTATGATTTATATGGAGTGATATATCTTAGAGAGGAGATCTGTAAAGATGATTGACTACGAATGTATTCTACACTTATTATTTTGTTATAAGGGTTGTTTATTTCGTTGATGTTGAATAAATATGAAGAGGGTTGATTTAACTTGTTGCTACTGTATTATTTTTATTAATTATTCTTTTTATTGTTGAAAGTACATATACATACATAGTTTTAAAAACTATAAAACCTTTAATAGCTATCAAGTTTCATTCAAGTTAAATCATAATCGGCGTTTCAAAAGATTTTTATCCTGTTTTCATTTCTTTTAGCCGCTCTATTTGTCTTATCTTTGACATTAGTTTTGTTTTAGTAATCACAGTTTAATGATAACAGTCATGAACGTTTTTATATTAATGAGATATTATTATACAGATATTCTTCAGGCTATTTCAATATAAAAACTAAATTTTCAATACATATGTATATAAATATAGATTTTTATAAAAGAAAGTGTGGAGTCACATATTTAGTTCACGAGTTAATCAAAAAATCCTTGGAATGCGGTGGCCAGGTAAAAACGAGTTGGTCGTTTCCTCTTTCAAATCTATTAATAAAAAATAGTTGTTAATGACAAATTCTTATTTAAAGATTATTTTTTTTTATTTTGACCTTTCGCGACTTGATTTAAAATATTTATCAACGCTATAGGCGATTTGCCTATCTTAGGAGCATTGTCGAGGTCAAACACACAGCAATAGATTTAGCAAACAAATGTGAATAGCATCATGTGTAAATTGATTGACATGACTTGAATTTGGTTCTTTGACTTTTTTCATAATATCAGCAATAGAACAAGTAATAAAAGTGTAATATTTGATTGTAGCAAAAATTTTACGTTAAAACAACACACTAAGAATTCCTATTAATTATTTTCTATATTTAAAGTAGTAGTAATTGTATAAATATTTATCTATTTCGTTTTCAAGATATGGGTGAATAGTAAAACAATCTTATATACACACAACTTCCTTATTTGGCTTTTCCCAGGTCGGGTAATAAAGTTCTGATTACAAACATAGAAATTTTCCAACATTTTGACCTCACTATCTATATGACAGCGATACCAAAAATAAATAATGAAATCACGATTCAAAAGCATTAATGAGATTGTGGTATTTTTTTATGAATTATTATAAAATGCACATTCGATAACGGAAGTGTAATGAACTTTATAGTTACACGTGCCATTTTTTACGCATTTGCAAAAACTGTTATCTTATCTGGTTGAGAATTGCCAAAAAAACAAATGACGGTTGCACTTTATTATCTAAACGCAAAATATCGTATCTACGCCAGCGCGGCGTATAAAAATATTATGACTTAATAACTTTGAATAATGCGTTGTAGATAATCACAAAGGAAAAGTATTTTTATATAAGTTGTAAATATCATTATGAAAAAAATGTCATTGACTATGCATCTTTATATTTAGAAGGAACTTAACGCGGTTAGATAGAATTTCATCATTTTATTTCATTATTATATTAGCAATTGAAAATTGTTTATCGTTAAATTGCATAAGTCACTCAAATGTACCTTTCAATACTAATATATAGTTTAATTTTAATAGGTTACCAAAATACTGCATCCAGAATCTATAATTACTTCGCAGTGAATAATTGGTTCGCCCCCAATGTATTTATTGATTGCATGATAGGTGAATCGCATGCGCTCTGCGCCTAAATCTATAACATCTAGGTTACGACCCGGCCATATTGAACAGGAGGTAGCTTTTGATGTAATAATTACTGTTTGTATGAGTAAAATCATCTGTAAACAAGTAGGATGTTAATAATATCAAAGAAAAAATGTATTAAGCTGGTTCATAAGGACTGTATTTTAAGTTCATTAAAATTTTCTATGAATAAATACTTTTTGGACTTCCCAAATTATATACTGTAGTAAAATGAAACGAACCTGTAACAATTTCAAGGACTTGAAATTATTAAAACAATGGTTTACAATATCTTTATGTTCGATTAAGTCTATATCTAGAAGGAATTGTGAGAATAACGGAATAAAAAGTAGGTGTTTGTTAATCCTTTGAAAATACGGTATGGTATTCTGAATAGTATTAATATGAGAAATTAAAGAAAAATAAATATACTAGGTAAATTAGTCCGACTTTTATTACCATACGATTGTTACTAGTTGGGAATAATGTATATCGATTTGGTTTAAGCATCCCGTTCCTAATAAGGGGTTTGTTGAAGATTCTTATCACCAGCAAGGCTCGATCTCATTTAATGCATGGCTGACTTTCACCGTCACTCGGTTACGAACACGACTTTTCCTCTGATTTTCCTGCCTTATCAATTATTTCCTCATGTTGCTTATTTATTCCAAATATTTTTTTAATAGCTTCACAGAATTATTTGCTCCTATTAAAACCTTCGTAGGAAGGCCTTTAAATTGTACACAAACGCATTGGCGCCGGTATTATCGACCCAGCTATATGTGTCGCGTTCCCACCCAACTGACACGTCACTCTATGATACTACACTACCCTTGATTCTGTTGACGCAAACAATACTTTCGGTTGTGCATTTACATTTAACTACCTGAAAACTCCTTTCCTATGTAAAATTTTAAAAATCTTATATTCTATTTTCAAATATCAAATAAAACTAAATGAAAACAGTTATTTTTTCAGTGTTAGTTGTTTTTTAAAGTTTTCAATATGGTAAAGGATTTCTTCGATCGAAAAAATTTGCGGTTAGCATGGCTTCGTTTACCGATCTAATTCTTTGTGTATTTAAAAGATTTTAATATTTCCTAAACATAATTAATATTTTTTTCAATAACACTATACTACTATAGTAATCAATCTATTGAATTTCCGAAGAATACTCTAAGATAGCTAAGCTTACGTGCGTATCACAGATAATGCATTATCAATCATATCTGATACCGTGCAAGATAACGTTTACGTTTTTTCTGACTGTACGAGAATCGGCTTACATATGTCTGAACGATCTCCATATAATATAGATTTGAACCTCATTAAAAAAAACATTCATAGAAGTAAATTATATACAAATAATTAAAACGAATTCATATAATCTTACATGATAATATTAGATATGATGTGTATAATCATTAATTCAGTTTCTTTGTTGTTAAAATTTTCAAAAGATAAGATATTACTTTTGAATCAATAACTGATACAAAAATACGAGTAAATAATTGATCCTTGTCTTTACTGTTCATAACTAATAAATATAAAAGAATGTATTCGTCATAAGCCAAACTAAATATAATTACAAATAATTTCCATAGAAATTTATCCTTGTATGGGTTATTGAAACATGTACATTGTATGTACATATATAGTTAGTTTAAATGAAATAATTTTAACGTTGAGTAGTTTCTGTTTCCAGTTCAAATCAAGGTGTTTGAGGCTTATAGGGTGGTAGGGTGGTAATGCCGCAACCCCTCACGCTATATTTAAGTGCATTATATGTAAAACATAACCGCCCAAAATGTGTAGTTGTGCATTTGGGCCTAATCTACCCCCACGGGGGTGCCACTATTCGTTGGGGTGTGTTAAAGGGTTGAATTCGTGTTCTTTGAAGTGATGCTCGTATGTGAACTTGCTCGTGCGGAAGCCTGAAAGGGATGTTTGGTTGTAGAGTAATTTGAATATGCTAATCAATATCAAGCTGAAAGTTCTCTGATTATTCAATAAGAATATAGAAAATTAAACTCAATTCAATCTTAGTTCTATTACAAACTTCACAATAAGACATAAAAAAACTAGCTGAAAAATTATCCAAGTAGTTTTTTAATAAAACTCAGAGAACGGGCTATATAACAGCACAAATACGGCGCTCGTTGCACATTAACCGACATTACGATTTCACGCACGTACGGACCGAAAATCCGAAACGGTTCACCTAGTTTTTCAGCGCCCCCTCCCCGCTTCGTGCAAGATTGATTTTCTCCCGCATTTCGCTTGCACTTTCGTCGGGGGTGTATAGCTGTCTCGCCTTCGCCTCCACCACCCCGACCTTGAATCGGGGGCACACAGACGTCTCGCCGGAATAGGGTTAGCGGCGGGCTGCAAACATTTTTTCTTTGAATTTCCTTTTTGTCTCTATATACCATGTTCTTTATAAATCAGTCTATTCAATGTTTATGTCTTCAGTTTAGGAAATATATTTTGTGATTGTTTTATATATAATTATTTGATCATAATTTTAGTAATAAAACTACTAGAATTACGTGAATAGAAAAAATAAGCACACTATGTTTGAGGCTTTCTGCTGTAAAGATTAATAATAAAATTAACCTTATACGTTGAACGTAATCTCCGTGTTTTAATATATAATATAAGTTTGAAACTCATCTTACTTATCTTACAGTGCTATTTAAGTAATTTCCAACTGTGTTAAAATTTTTCATAATAAATTAAAAGTTAAAGTCGTACCAGTAATATCAGCCCTAGTGGCCTGCGGTTGTGTGGGTGCTTGGAAACGGGGTTAGTCGAATCCCCCCGCTTTCACTTGCATCCTGTTTCCACACGTATAACAAATTTTCAAGAGAGGGGTTTTGTTCTACTTCCTGCAGGTTTCACTGAATGTCGTGTTAAATGAAATAACCTTTCCTTTGGTTAGAGAGTTTTTGTTATAACGACGGACTACGGTTTCTACAGTACCATTAAGGATTTAATTAAGAAATTTTTAAAACAAATTTTTAACTGTATATCAAATTTTATAAAAAAATTATCGATTGTTGATTTTTTAGACTAATTGGATTAATGCACCAATATTATAATATTGGACGTATTGGTTTTTCTCATTTCGCTAATCTGTTATGCAAACTTTTACTATACCAATAAGGTTAAGCGCCTTTTAAAATTTACAATATTAACGTCGATATACTTGAATGATTGAAAGAAATCAAAAGTATTTTAATACCACTTTTCAAAGACTCATACAAAGACTGAAAGATCTTAGAAAATAATTAGATATAGTAGCTATTTCTTATTTTTAATTTAGAGATAATGGTTTAAAATGTAAATGAATTATTTATTTTCGAAAAAACTGGAATGTGTTACCTACATAATAAAGTGTTGTAAATTCTGTTTAGAAAAATTTTGGTAATAAAGAATAGCAAGTTTCTTGTTGCTACCATCTCGATAGAGCCGACATTCCTAAACTTTGTTAGATTCAATCTATTGTTTTACTTTTTACTTGAATTTATTCTATGTGAGTTGCTTTTCCACCTACATATATGATTGAAGTTGAATGATTTTTTTTTATTTTTACGCTACATATATGTACATAGGTACGTAAATTTCTGATTTTTTTCTATAAGTATTAGAAAGAGATCCTTTAAACTTAATATAAATTTGTTACAAAAACGATAACTTTTAACTGAATACACGTGTCATGGTATAAATATTGAGTAATATATGAATTAGCATTACAATCGTTGTACTTGGCGCCACTTACGCATGAGTTTGACAAGGTTAGATCATATAATATCGGATAAAAATATTCAATTCATCAAAAAGGATTCATCTTTCAGATATTTTTTTTAATTTTTCTCTTTTTGTAATAAAGCTCATTTTACATTAAACGCGAATTAAATGAATAGCTCAATTATTTTTCTTTCTACTCTATTTGAAATTTAAGTTGAAGTAAACGAATTATTATAGTTAAAGGTACAGATTAAAAAGAACTTTCACTCGGGACCCAACCAAAATAATGAAATACAAACACTTAGAACACCTCCGAAGTTTGAAAATGAAATACAGGTTAAAAGATTTCGTTTCCATTATATAAATATCCCAAAAAGCGGTACGCTAGATAAGCATTAGTAGGTCTCAGAATGGGGCCAATGTCGGTGTTGCAAGCTGCGCCAGCGCCGACCAATGTCGAGCGGCCATTTCCTCGTTACCCTGGCCCGCGACCCGTTCCCCCCGCAACCCAGCATTCAACTATCAGCACATAAACTGGCTCTACTGCAGATGTTGCAGTGATTTCCTTCATTATGTTCAATATATTTTGTTCTCAATTCATCTTCTTTACTGTGGTGAGCCATTTGGGTCTTAGATTTGGAGATATATGATTTCATTTCATTTGAAGAGAATAGTTGATATATATCTATAGTTAGCCATGTTATTAAAATATTATAGGAAATGCACGTAAAACCTTTTATTTAATACCATACATTGGTTAATGTAAGAAGAAGATCCTTGAAACCATTTGAGATTTCAATCTCAAACGATAAAACTTAGTATTCTAGGCCTAGGTCAATTATTGTTCCATGTTGTAAACCTGACCTTTGTTCAAGAATGAATATGCATTAAAATTAAAATATATCAATGACACACTTTGTTACAATTTAATGGTATGTTTTCTCCTTAGACTTTAAAATTTATTAAAGTTATAATATTAGCAATACACTGCTTTAAGTTTGACCTATTTTTTCTGGTTCAAAGTTCATACAAGGGTGTGATTTCAAAAACATTAATAAAAAAAATCAGTTTAGACATTTTAGTATTGAGAGTGGTACGATTATAAATGAGTAAAATATTACTTCAAGTTTCCAAGAACCAATTATAATTTTTTACGAAATTTTCTTAAATGAAATTTAACAATAAAATTCCAAAAGGAAACCTTGTTCATAAAATTTTACGATTGAAAGTTAATTATTATTAGAAGCTGTAGTAAAATGGAATAGTTCCAAAAAGACTATTGACATGTATTAATTTATAGTAATTTATTACTGGTAAAATATATATTAGATATTTATCTAAGATATTTTTATATATAACAAATATTTATGCTATGTAATATTATGTCACCATATTTTTTATATCACATTTTTCTTTAAGGTTAGGGAGATAAAATTTTCCACTTGATTTTGTTTTACGTTCAACTTGGTTTTCAACACGTGATTGAAGGACTTTAACATTTATGATAACATATTTCCACGGTTTCAATATTAAATAATTTAACGGTACAAAGTTACATAAAATAAATCTAAATTACTTAAACATCTCATTAAGGAAGTTACAAGGTAAAGGCAATGCCAAGGTAACGAAACTCGATTTAAAAAGACGTAGAATAGTCGAATGCATCTTGGATATAATTTTTTTTTTCAATGAACATATTAGTCATCACAACATTTAGGTTTTTTGTTCTCTGAATACAATAAAGGGTTAATAAAATTGGTATTAATTTATTAGGATCGTAGTGACCTAAAGATTTGGTAAATCAAAACAAATAATCACTTTGTACTCAGAACAAAGAAACGTAATTACTTTCAACTCTAAGGCAGAGAGTGGTTTAATCTGGAAAGTGAAAACTTCTGGACTCCCAGTCAAAGCTAGGATCACGATAATTTGTAACAAACAAAGGTCTAGTTGCTTTTATCGACTTTGTCAGAAAAGATAAAAAAGCTAATAATTATTATGAATTTCTTTATATTAATAATAACGAGTCAGTAAATTCTATGAAGTTACATAATTTAAAAAGATAATATCGTAAGTAAAAGAATAAAATATATGGAAATTATGTAGATATATTCTTATCACTACAAACATTATGATGGTCGTAACTTTTTTGACACGTCACAAAAATATTAAATTGTTTATTAAAAAAGTAAAAAAAATCACGTGAAATAAAAGGCGACGCTAAAAGAATAAATGACTTAAGCTGACCCTATATTTGACTAAATTAAAAGATTATCTATGAAAAAGCATATCTCTAACTTATTTCGAACAAAAATAAATCATTTATGTGTTTGATATATGTACATTGCACGTTGCCTGTTATTGCCACGCTTTCAATTTTTCGCTACACACTGCCTAAATAAGTGACGGCGGATTCAAGGTCAGCTATATTATGTACCTTGGTGTGACGTAACAAGCCAGATGTAGGCGCTCTTATTACTCATAGTTGCCGGTCGCCATGTTTAAAGGACTACTTACTTTATTAATTGGCACTTACAAGGGCTACCGCTGCAGGTGCCACGTGAATAAATTATTTCGTATTAGTCAAAATTTTGTTTCTGTCATATGAAATTACTATAGCCGGTGATCTAGTATGTATTAAATATTTATCAAAACTTCTTAAAGTTTTTTGTGGCTTGTCGTTGTTTCTAATGATCTCACTTCGGTGAATTGATACCTTAACCGGTGGTCATCTGAGATTGTACATTTCCTTAACTATCCATTACTCCACGTGTAGGCAGAATTATATTTTCATTTGTTTTGTTTTTGTTTAAATAGATATGTTATAACATTTATTTACGTGTATTAATTAATGTCTTTAAAAATTTCCAGGTCGTCAGTTTAAAGCACATAAAGTTATTCTGGCAGCATGCAGCAAACACTTCCAGGAGTTATTCGACACTGCACCGCCAAGTCATGCTGGCGCCTGCTATGTATTTCTCGAAGCTACCACCGCAGACAACATGCAGGCTCTCCTCGAGTTCATGTACAAGGGAGAAGTCCATGTCAGTCAGGATGCTCTCTCCAGCTTCTTGAAAAGTGGAGAGAACTTACAGGTAAATAGAAAAAGAATATTGTTTGTAGTTTAAGAAAGCTAAATTTATTATTATTATTATTTATTCTTTATTGCACAACATACTAAACTAAAGAAATTACATTTTCGTTATATGTATATTACATGCATGAGGTGCAAAAAAATATAATATCCAAAAAAAATTGAGATATAAAAGAAAATCATATTGGTTGTTACTTAATAAACTAAAAATTTATCTTTGACTCGGAATTTTAAGAAAGGCAATTAATATTTTGTAGAAATATCGTTATTAAGAAAATTTTCATTCTTAGGTTAAAGGTTTGTCCATGGAGATGTCCCAAGACGCTTGGGTGAAACAACAAACTCAGCAATCATCTGAACGTCATCAAACTCGCATCAAGACAAGCCCCGTATCTGGTTCAGGGAACTGTGATATTCAGGACGCAGCTCCCCCTCAGACACACGGAGCTACTTTTGCACCAATTGGCATGCCTCAATATGGCATGAATCTACATAACAGTAGCGGTAGTATGAGTCGCTATGCTCCACCAGCTCATGTGCCCATACATTCGTCTACACACCGTAGACCACCGCCACCAAAACCATCACCATCTCAAAGTCCACATGCTAGGAACTACAGGTATTATTTTTGTGATTTTTAAGTTATATCGTACTTTTTGGTGACGAAGCGATATTTAAAAAAATATATAAATTTACAGGCAGAGTTCATCATCTTCTCATTGCGGCAGTGTCGCTGATGAGCCTGACACTCGCTCATCACCAGGCGCTAGTGCTCGATTTGAAGAGACTCCCCCAGACTGTACTTCCAGTCTTGCTAACCCTGTAAAGAACAACGGATATGAACGAGCTGCTTCTGTAAATGATGAAATGATTGAACGCCTCTCAAATGATCAAGGGGCCGAAGGTAACAAATAAGTTGAATGCTTAATAAAAAAGCTGAATAGTGCTTTTGCTATCATATGCTTTATCATAACATTTTAAATAATTCACAACCATTTCTCATTACAATTCAATTTCTATAGGATCGCGTCATATTTCAGATTTGCGGGTTAAAAATGAGAACGATTACCATGCTAGCAGTTATAATAATTCACCACCGCCCGCTATTCCGATACCGACCAGCAACTACCACGAGAAGCCACATGAGACTTCTCCCGTACCACCTAAACCTAGCCCCGACATATGGCCCGCGAAACTGATTACGAGCAAATCCGGTGGGATTGCTACTGCTGATGGTAACAATAAAATATATTGACAGATTTATAAATTACTTACGTCCAATTTTTTTTATTCAGATATACTTATTATGCTTTGTAAATGTTTCAGGGAAAAAATTAAAGTGTCCATATTGCGAGCGATTATATGGATATGAGACAAATTTGCGCGCTCACATCCGACAGCGGCATCAGGGGATCCGCGTGCCATGCCCTCATTGCACGCGCACATTTACGCGCAACAACACCGTGCGCCGCCACATTGCACGGGAGCACCGTCACCAGGTCACTCCTCACCTACCACAAGGCCCTCTCCCAAATCACACGCAGTAAATCTGCCCTTTATTTTTTTAACTATTATCAACCGATCTACCTCTGCTATTTCCGACTAGCACGGGCTATCTACTGAGTTTCTATTGACTTTCTACATCAAATTGCAGATAGTCAATCGATGCTTTGTGTATCTCTATGGTAGCCCGCGCTGTCACTTTACTCTTGTAACTTTCGTACAATATATTATTACCTCGTTGATGCATATTATGTAACAGTGTCTACCTCAAAATTGATCTTAAGAATTTTTTAAGATTTTGGAATTTTGCGATTATTGTTACTTAATTTAATTTTTTCCGTGTGACTTCGAATGGTTGCTCAGTGCTCGTCTCTGTTTGGTACCGTGTTTTAAACATTTTGTACCTCTATTGCACCCTCAACTCGTTTACGTATCTTAATTTAACTGTGAGATAAAGTTACCTTTTGTAGACGATTTATTTGAGCTCTCGATGGATTAAACATAGCTTGTATTGTATTAACTGAGCTAGGAAATCTTAGAATTGATGTTGAGACTGATGGTCATAGGCTTAGTGTATGTAAATAATAGGAGAATATTCGCCTTGGCCTAGGTTGAGACACGCGTTTGACGTTGCATGGTGGCAAAATTGTTTTGTACAATTAATATTATTTACTCTTATTCAATATTCACTATTACAATAGACTGTTTAACTGGTTTAAGTTATATAATTTGAACACATCTGTGATACAATAGGACAGGCTCTGTATATTATTTTAGTTTTTGCCACTTTGTCATTTTAAGAACAAAAAACATGGAAGTTTAAACCGCTAAACATCGTACGCAGTTTTGTACTGTACAGTGAAATGTTTTTATTTTGTACAAAGTACAATTTGCCCTAGGTACATAAGTAGGTAGGTAAAACGTGTTAAAAATGCATGCAAGGTTGGAGGCATGAATGTGTTTACAATTCACTACCGTCGTTTGTTCCAGGCTCGCCAGCGGAAGTTACTATTGAGACCAAATTATTATATGTTTTTACGCGATGGTGTCGATTTTAACATTCCGTTTATTGTGTTTTTCGTCGTAGTGTGTTTAGATAAAGGCCACTTATTACTTTTATATACCTAGTCATTTCAAGTGCAACCAGTTGAGATTTAAAGAATAATTATTTAATAAATATAAGAGAGGGCGATGATGTTATTGTATTATAATTGTTGTGTTAACGTCGTCGTCTCTCAATACCTTATTGAAGAATATACGTAATAATTAGATTCCGATATGCAATTTTAAGTTGTTCTTTAACTCAAAGCAAATGGGACAGTGCCAAATAACCTCAATGTTAAGTTCACATCTATAATTTATTTTATTTTTGTTAAGTGTGAATGTAGCGACTGTGTGTTTTATTCCTGATATTTAGGAATGAGTTGCATTCATATTTATTATATTTATATTTTAGTGTACATTAAATTTTATTTTTTTATGATTAACGCTATACAAAGGCTCAGTGATTTTTTTTATTAAAATGTTAGTTTCTGTATTATCAAAGATATGTTATACCTCATTTATACTTGTTCGCATTTAATTAATACGAATGTGCAGTCCTCCTAGTGTCGGTAAAGATAAAACTGTTTAAGAATTCTTTAATCTTTATGGCTAAATATATATTTCACTTATTCTTAAGCTTGCTAAAATATTACAACACAATAGTTAACATTTAAATTTGGTTTTGAACATTCAGTTGTAACAATGATATAAAACGATTTTAACATATTTTACTAAAAATACTTTTTGCAATAGATTTCGGGTTATGGAATGTTTAACGTAAAGAATATTGTGAAAGAAAAGATTATAAAAGTATATGATTGTGGCCTGGAAATTATAATTATTTTTTAAAGTTGGTAATTGCAATTTCAATTTTATTTTTGGCGGAGATTGGTTTTTATTATTATAAAACAGTTAACGTACTTTATAAACAGGAACGAAAGTTATTCCCCAGAGAAGGTCATACATTAAAACCGTTTGAGGTTTCAATGTCTTTAATATTTTTCACTTATTATTGCTGACTGTCTAATCGTCTTGACAAAGTGTTGGTATTCACGAGAGGGGAATTATAACGGGATACAATTAAAAATATTTTGTTGTTTTTAACGTTTATTATAATTATTATTATGTTACATATTTTTGGCATTCTTAATTTAGGTACTATTGTTAGTAAGTGTTTTGCTACTTCAATTATAAATTGTTAAAATTATTTTACTATATTTGGAAGCATAAGTAGGAAGATCGACATTAAGTAGCTATTCAGTTTTATTGTTTCTTTTCCAATGAATTTAAAATTCATAAATGTGATTTTATTTTGACATTTAATGTTTATTTGTGATACATAGAAGGGAATAGCATTAATGCATCACGTTTTAGGATATTTTTTTTATGATTTTGGAGCAATTATTTTTAATTAAGAGGTATAAAAGGATTCTCTGAACATTTGACACTAAGGGATCGCCATTAAGATATATTTTCGTTCTATATTCTTAAGGTACAAATTAAATATCACAATATTATAAGTCAATTTTAAAATCATAGCGACAACAATGTGTCGCAATTTTGTTCATAAAACCCATTTGTTCAAAATGTTGTGTACTAGCTGTGGAATATTTAAAATCATGTCTAAATTAAGTTTGCATTGTTAAAATTAATGTAAGAGGACAAGTTACTCGAAGTCCCTTATAGATTTAATGTTGTATTGATGAGATAAGAGTTCACACTAAGTCGATGTTTCGCAATCCCTTGACCTCGGTCGATCTCTCTAGCTTTTGTCGTCGTAACTCTGTTTAATGAATGTGCAAAATTGTATAGTTTGAATGATATTGAATAATTATGTTCTATATCTAATATTACGGGATAAGGGATTTTTGAAGATGAACCTTCGGATAAGATCGGTTTGAGCAAGTGAATAGTAAACAACAAGCCTTGAGAATGATGTCATCGAGTAATGATCACTCTCTTATAATGATTTGATGCTTCGCACTGCGTTCTGATTATTTCGCTGGCTCAAAACTGCATTTACGACTTCTTAAATACTTTATTTTATTATTTCTGTTTGGGCTCATTGTCTTTAAGATTCTTTTATATTATTAATATACTTTATAAGTTTTCTTTATGTAAATAAATCGCGATATGTCGTGATGGTAAAGCCAAAGATTGTTACGGGTACGGTGACCCTCTGCCGTCACACGGGTGTCTGCGGCCACTTCACATTCGAGTTTGAATATTTGGAGATTTCGCTGGACGAGCCTCATCGGTATTTCAAATAAGTTTCGCTCGAATGTGGAGTACCGCACCGCTCTTTAGTATATAAGGTAATCTACCTCGAGGAATGTAACTTAGTTATAAGTAAGTTTTTAAATAGATTTTTATATGAAGGTTTAATGTAATTTAGTTTTTAAGAGAAAATAAAAAGATAAAAAAAATATATTAAAGTACAAATCTACTACCTCAGGATTCAAGTATGTCGCTCGGAATTCTATGACTTTCATGCAAGTATTAAATTAACGTATATATAATGCAGATTATTTAGGTCATGGAGATATTTATGATGTTTTGGACTGAACGTTTTGCGGAACAATTTTATGTAATGCGAATGGGTGTTATTACATTTGGAGTTCAGTTGTTTTAATCAAAAATTTATAATGGTACACGTTAATTGAATCTCTGCGAGGTAGTTAGTACTATCAACTCAGTGACACGCTCAAGTGAATATCGTATATGCGAGCTCTATTCAAGGTTACCTCTTAGCTGAGTTGATGGATCTAATGTATATTAAGTAAGTACGTGTTAATTAGGCTAGTTATTAATAATCTCATTGATGTTCTACCTCATGTTATAACACAATAAGCGAGAGATCGGTCCCGAGTCATTCAGGGTAATCTAATTGTACCTTCTTCACTCTCAGGAGTATAAAACATTTTTTTTTCATAATTTTATTATTATTACTTTTTTCCCCAGTTATTTCATGTGTTGCATAGATGTTACTATGTTTTAAGAAGATGAAAAATGAGAACTTATTGTTTGTTAGGTTTCTGCAAATTAAAAAATTGTAACAAAAATATTATTTTCTTTTTGTTTTGTTTTTATTTTCTTTCCTTTTTTTTACCTTTTTTATTTATCGACAAGTTACACCCGTCCATCGTATTTAACATTTATTGTATATTTAGGTCATCATTTAAGATTCGGCATTCTTAATCTAGTGGCACTAGTGTACTTTAAGTTGTATTTGATGTTCTTTTGTATTTTAAGAGTGCACATGTCTCACGAGCATCATGATTATTTAAAGTAAAGATTAATTATAGATGTTCTCTCGTTTATATTAAGAATAATTCGACGTAAGATTATAATAAAATCATCGATCTGTTGAATGGAAACTTATTCACATAGGAACTAATACGCTGGGCTAATTATTTTTTTGGTTTAATTATTTTTTTAATACATAAATTTACAACATAAGAGATCTTCAATTTGTAAATAAATATTAAATAACATTAAATATATCTCACGTAGGTTGTTGAAAATTAAGTTGATATATGTTCAATATATGTAATATACATAATATAATTGTCTTCTTAAATCGTATAAAATGTGAATGTCCCTAGAATTGTGTTATTTGTTTTATAACATGTAATTATCATAATTTCGCAATTTCATGTATAGAAATCGTGTCAGTATGTTGAATTATCTTGATGTCACTTTATAATCTTAATGTCTGTTCGTGTATTGTTCAAATTTCTAGCTGAAATACTAATGAGCACCGTAATTTCTATAAAAACTAAAGTACAAATTCAAGTCTTATAGTTACTCTCAGTACAAATATAATTTAAAATTATCGGATTTTATGTAAATGTTGCCAAAGGTATATATTTTGGAGCATCCGCTGATCTTATTTAACTTAGATTTATCTGAATAGAGTACAAATATAATTTTTATGACAAATATGTACGGCAGCCCGCCATGTTGGATTGGATTTGACGGTTGATACATTAACTATTCAGTAACTTTTATGGGGTTTCGTAGTGTGTAGGTATTGATGCTGTGTTTAGTGGGAAACTACGATTAGTGTATGTATAAATGTATCGTCGGATAAGTACGAAACCTCAAACCAATTTGATGTCTATTTGCTTTTGTATAAATATGTATCAAAATAATTTGTTTAGTGGGATAGTGCATCGCGAAGAGCGAGGGTATACGTACTCGCATGAGTACAGGATTAGAATGATAATATCGATTGTAAGGTGTAATGTAAACCATCGTGGTTGTAAAACTAAGTAGGATTTTGTACGTAGCTAACTAATGATTGCTTAGTAAGTGAACTAATTGGTCGGTGGTATTTGTCTATAAAGGGAAAGTGATTGTCTGTGATTTTTTTTAAGCGACTTTTTTATATATATGGAAAAAAAATATTAAAATTCCTTAACAGTAAGAATAGCACTACTTGTGATTTTACATTAGATATTTTATTAGTTGACTTCATTTTTTTGTACAATACTATAGATTAATGTAGGAGAGTGTAGTAATGGTGTGAAAAGCGGGTTGAGTGTACATACATAAAATGATAGATTATGTACAATTCATTATTGGCATTTGGCGGCGTATCAAATTTGACAATTGGTATGACCATGTGGCGCTTGGAGTCGCGCGCAGAACCTTCGCCTCTGGATTGCAAATTTCAGAGGCTCGATACGAATTTACCTGTTTGAGGGCACGCGGCTCGTTAAACTTAGAAAATTAATTTATCGTATAATCTTAACATTAATAATTTACCTCATACTAGCGAATTTTTTAGCGTGGTAACATTTCAGCAATTCTTTTGTTAGTTTAATGTTATTATGGTAGTATGTAACTGTTATGTTTGCTTCGTTTCCCAGCATGTCGTCTCGAAGGGAGCATAAATTCGGTACGTAATCCGAACGGGCTCTTTAGGCATCTGATCATAATTATACTAAGCTTTGTGTTCTGATTTCTGTCTTATTCCCGTGCGCGCTGTGGTGCTGGATTTTGATCTATTTTAAAACTTTACAAGAATTAAATTTTAAAGTCTATACAGTAATAGTTATTTATTCTAATTTGGGAGTTTCAATTTAATATATACTTTATACTATTAAAACTGTATTATATTTAAAATCCTCGCCACAGCGGGCCGTATTTGTAATATCTGTGTACAAATCGACTACGATACAGGTACTATATTAGTCCGTGTGCACTAATTATAGTAATATATTGCATAAAACAATCCACGTCACATACCTACAATCTAAAATAGGTATAGTTATATGGAATTGTTCCAATGTGGAATTCTTAAATTAATAAAAAAATGTTGCTAAAATATATAACTTATTGTTTTATTTATCTTAAGTTGATGTTATTTCCATTTCTGTTATGAATTATCGTAATTTTATCAATTTATTTTGTGTACGATCAAATAATAATATTAGAAATGTTATGAGACCAAGACAAACTCTTTACCATAACTATTCTTATGGCAGTGTACGGAAGAGTGGATTCTGCAGATTAAAAAACCTATCAATCATTAACTGCTTTCAAATAAATACATGAAAAAAATGTTTTAGTATATAGTTTTTCATAATATGTTTTTTCAATATTCTATTTTCCTGACTGAAATTTTAAATAACATTCTTTTATATTAGAGGTAACAGGTAATAGATACTCACTTTTTTTTACATTGATAAGAAAAAAGTTATCTTTAAAAGTTACTGAGGTGAAGAATATAAATTTACTAAAAAATTTGTTTGATAAATATGTTGTTGTTGAGAACTCCTCTTAATAATCCGTAACACATACGTATATAATTAAAAATAGTATATAATATTATTTACCTAATCTAACCGATCAACTGTTATGAATAGAAAAATATTAAAAATCTGTATAAAAGTTTTATTTCTAATTTATCAGCTTATTTAGTTTATTTTAAAGTCCCTTGCAATATTTACATCGGTCTTTACATGAACACGTATGTATAAACAAAGAATAGTAATAACTATACAAAATTTATTGAGATGGATTCAGTATAATCTAGATTTTTATTCATATCTGATATAAATAATTGGAATAAAGAATCCGGACGCGATGATTTGTTAGGCAAACCTTATTCCATATCATCATCATCATAACCGACTAATCATAATGTGGTATATTTTGTAGTGACTTGAGAATAAAAATTGTTTCTTTAACATTCTTCATTAAAAAGTAAGAATGAATATGAAACCCAATTGTAAACACAATACGAGTTTATATCTCTTAAGCTAGAAAGGCTTATAAGCCTAACAGTAATAATTAATGGTATTTTTTGTTTTCTTTATCGTGGCCTACAACAGGACAAAGTGATATTTAAAGGTTGGAGTCATTGTGATTATAAAATTAAAAACTTGCATGTATAGGTGTTTACATCAGTGATGAAGGAAGTAATTATGAGATATCATAGAGTATTTGAATCGAAATGTAACTTTCATTACATATATGTACTTCATGTATTTTAAAACAGTTATACTCTAATATTTATGATTTAAAAAATACCATTTCGTATATCCACAATATTAAATTAGATAAATCACCATACTCAATAAATAAAAACAATATCACTAGTAACTATATTGTTTTGCTAGTTATAATGTAATTTTCACTAAAATATTTGTGTGAAATATTATTAAGATTACTTTGTTATGACATAATTGAATTCCAAAACAATGAAACCCAATAAAAAAAAAATACAATAAAGTTATTGTAGTTACGTATGTATTGTACTGTACTGTACTGTACTGTAAGATACAGTTTTAAATGTCAGTCGTTCACATTAAGAACAGAGAAAAGAGCGTATATTTTCAAGATCATCTAGTGACCGGCGATAGTTATGTTGTTGATGTGGATCAACTATATATACTGAACACCGCAGTAACAGTGATCATTGTAAAATTATCTCAATACAAACAATGGCTGCTAAGGTACGTGTATTACTTTAAAATTAGAGAAATAAATGTTTGAATTGTGTTCATTAATTCCTTGCTTTTTGTTTTCCAGTTGGTTGTAGTACTCGCCGCCGTGGCCGCTGTGGCTCACTGCTCAGTGGTGCCAGTTGCGCGAGCAGACGCCGACTACACGAGCTTCGCATACGACGTGGCCGACCCTTACACCGGTGACTTCAAGAGCCAAGTTGAGACCCGCGTTGGTGGCAATGTCCGAGGACAATACTCACTGCTTGACGCTGATGGCACAAAACGCACGGTGGACTATGCAGCTGATGATCTCAGTGGTTTCAATGCGGTTGTTCGTAAGGACCCAGCAGTTTTGACTGCCCCAGTTGCTGCTGTTGCTCCCGCTGTTGCCGCTCCTGCTGTCATTGCTGCCAGAACTGTTGCTGCACCAGCTATTTATGCTGAATCTGCCCCCGCTCTGGTTGCCGCTCGTGCTTACGCACTTCCTTCTGTATACTCCGCTGGTCACTCCATTCTTGCTCCTATTAATTCATGGTAACTCGAAAATGCTCCCTTGTAAATATGTTTATAAAAAATATATATAACATAATATGAAAATTATGTTGCTTTTTTATTATTGTTCGTAATAATCAAAAAAATATATACATCTTGAATATCAATCTATCTCCATAATTAATTGCATTTCTCGATTAAAAGGTTAGTAAAATAGATAAAGATTACAGTATAAATCATCATAAAATTAAACATCATACAAGATACAAACAAGGTCATTAATAATTACATTTGTTAAATTTGTTCAGATAGGATAATATTTTTACTAAAAAATGGACTCATAAATACGTTTTGAATACTTCATATTAAATTTATGAAGTTATAGTTGACTACAGAATTTTCTAACACAGAAAATCTTTGTACTAAAACTTGTGATTATATGTATGAACTAAAAGTGGATATTTCTGTTGTGACAAGAAAACAATACAGTAACAACAGAACAAAAGCTTATACACAATACGCTAAAAAGAGTACGGAATAAATAATAACAGCGATACTGGGGCAAAGCAAGATTGACTTGATAAAAATAAGAAAGTTCACGTTACAGTAGTTTTTCTAAGAAACTAGTAAGCAAATTAATATTGCACTCAAACTGTTACATTTTATTAATATTTAAAATAGGATTTCAGCTGTGATGATATTGAGGTTTTACGATAATGGGTAAATAAATTTTGTAAGCACAGAGACAAATCAATAGTACCAAGATATTTAAGAAGCTAAATTTAATATAGTGAATACTATGTGATTTACGAGAAGCAGTCTGGAGTAGTGGCGACGTAGTAGTTCTTCGAAATTTCTAATGTGACTTTTTCATAGTTATTGTTTTTTAATAAAATAAATAAAAATTCGTACCAGGTATGGCTTTGGTGTAGTCTCTGTTCCGAGACTACTTATTTCAGGTGACAAAATAATTTTATTATTCATTCAACACGTCACTCTAGGGTTACCAAGTATCTTTAGAATCGTTTCCTAAACAATCAACAGATTGTTTGGAATACATTACACAAAATATGTATTATTTATATATTTAATTTCGTAAATATATCTCTTCGTTGATCCAAGATGCTCTTTCACTTACGAAAATCGAGGTTGGTGATTTTTTTAAAATAGAAAGTTTATTTTAATAAAGTCTCAGAATAAGAATTGTTTTTTCTAGAAAAATTAAAACATTTAAACAAGCTACATGGTATGATGAATTCATGAACACGTACAGGATTAGAACCCAAATCAAAGTAAAGCCGAATCGTTTAAATAATTTTAATTCAAATACTTCCACATTCATTTAAATTTATGTAAAACATTTTATCTGTGCAGGTACCAAAATATGTCTATTAAAAATAATTAATTATCTGAACATTAGTAAAATAAAAATAAGTCAAAAATAATTAAATTTTGACCGGAATAATGTCCTTCAATGATGAAATAAAAAATCAATACTTTTATTTTGTAAGAAAATGGATTCAAGGCCTCTATAGAATAATTGTAAAATAAAATATTTATCTTAAATGTAATGAATAGTAAACCCCTGATTCTAGTGTATGTTATTATGTATATTTTTCTTTACTTATGTTTAATGTTGTAATAATAATAATAACACTGGTATTTTTAAATAGGGAAACCATTTCAATAATACTTCATTTTATTGAGATAAGTTAATGTTTTTATTGAAAAACGTTAAGAACTATATACAGAAAAAATACAGATGAAGGTAAAGCATTTTACAAAGCAGTTTAAAAGAATACTCAGTATGTTGTTTATGAGAAATACATACATTCATCAACTCAAGCATACATTCAGAGTATATGAGCAAACAATAGCAGTTCCTACAGCAGGTTTTAACTTCAACTATAGCTGATAAAATAGTTATTATACACATATTTATATATTTTACCATTGGTTAAGTTGTACAGCTCTGTACCCATAAGGAGAGTAAATGGGAGATGCAAAACGGCCATAGCTTGATGACACAGGATAGACAGATCCAGGGTATAAAGATTGTACTGGGTATAGTGAAGAAGCGGAGTATACCGATGGTACAGCGTACGATCGAGAGATAACCGCTGGGGATGCAGAAGAGTAGACTACTGGAGACTTAACAACGGAAGGAACAACAACAGGTGCAGCGGGTACCAGTGGGTCTTTACGCACAACCGCGTTGAATCCGTTCACATCGTCAGCTGTGTAGTCTACTACACGTCTAGTACCGTCGGGGTCCACCAGGGAATACTGTCCCTTCACAACACCACCGGAGCGAGTTTCAACTTGACTCTTGTAGTCACCGGTGTTGGGATCGGCGACATCGTATGAGAAGCTGGAGACGTCATTGTCCACTTTTATCACTGAACATTGGGCCGCAACCACGAGGGCCGAAATAAGTACAAAGAACTGGAAAGTAGAGACGCTGTCTTAAGTTTTGATCGCATATATTATTTTTTTATAAGTAATTAAATTATTGTACCTTACCTTGGATGCCATTGCTACTGTGACGACTTTTTGTGTCAAATGAATAAATATTGATCAAATTTTAAGCTTTATATATGTTTCTAGCATCCTTAAAAGTCTAAATAGGTACCGGTTGGTGTTTTGAATTAATGCAATTAAGTGTGTAATAATTATTATATTTCCGTAATATGTTAAGTATGTTAACATTGCCTCAAACAAAACCTACAAATACAAATCATAGTTATATACAAACACAGATATGTTTTGCGAGTATTCATATAAATGAAACTAATAATATCAGTTTACTACGTGCATTTTACTGTATTAAAAATCTCCCAAAGAAATTAGTTTTGGATTAGAACAATTAAATGTATTTTAATTGTAATATTTCCTTAATATGTTAAGAATGTAAATATTGCCTCAAACAAAAGCTACCTACAAATAATAGATTTATGTAAACAAAGATAGGTTTCAATGAGATCTAAGGCTTTCGTGAGTGCTCATTTAAATGAATTTAATATTTTCGGATTATTACGGGCATTATATTTTTTTAAAAAACTGCATACTCCCAACGTTTTGGTTACATTTCAGCAACGTGACGAGATGTGAATGTCTGTCAGCCTTTCTTGTTATTTATCATCTAGCGCCAACGATTTCTTAATTTTGCAGCGTACCAGTATGCATGCCGTAGAATGCGCTTACGGTGTCACGAGTTCCTGCGGTGTGGTCATGAACATGGGATTTTATATTTTAATAAGGCGTTCCTAGGTGTTGGATAGATTCCAGCCATCTTTTTTATACATAGAAATAAAGGATAATCATGCTTTTGTTCCTGTCTTAAATTAATAGTTTACTACTTTATATCATAGAAAAAAATATAAATAGGCTTCAAAATATTCTAGATATTTTATAAAATGGTATTTCAAGCATTGAAAGAATTTGAGCAGTTGAAACGCCGTCATTTTGCACGTATTTTGATTGACGTCACACGAAACAGCCAGTGAGTCTTTGCTGTGAACTTTTCAGTTACTTCGTAAGTATTTACAGTTTTCATAACTTTAAAATCATGGAAGAAGCCAAAATTATCTTATAAGTATTGTATAGTACTGGAGTGAACAAATACTATACAAAAACACCTGAAAAAGAGTTTTTCGTTTTTCAAGTGATGCGAAAATACTTATTTCAAATCTTTTAACGTCAGTATGTTTTGTTTATATACAATTTAGTTTGAATTAGTAAAAAGTAAGTTTTGCTTTAGCTATTGAACATTAGAACATTCGGTTTAACATAAAGTTTATTCAGTAGCTATAAGCAAATTAATATTTTAGCCTTATCTTAATAGAATTAAGTTTCACAATGAGACAGTTTTGTTGATAAAATTTGAACAGGCTACATAGCATGATGAATTCATGAACACGTATAACGACGTTACAGGCCTAAAACCCTAATCAAAATAAAGCCTAAACATTTAGATTTTAATCCAAATACTTCCGCATTCATTAAAATTTACATAAAACATTTAATTGTACAAATACTTAAAGATGTTACTAACAAAATATTAGTTGTCTGAGCATTAGTTAAATAAAAATTAGTCAAAATAATCAATGTGTGACCCTACAAATGTCCTGGAATTTTGAAATAAAAAAAAATATTATTTTTATTTTGTAAGAAAATCCAATTAGGGCGTCTATGGAATTGATGAACAGAATATTTATTTAAAATAAAAAGATTAGCAAAATCTTTTATTCTACTGTAAAATTTGTTTATATTGTTTATATTAAAAAATGTTTAGTATTTTAATCATTATAAGAACAAGGGTATTTTAAAGAAGGAAATCACTTCAATAATACTTCATTTTATTTGTGTAAAATTATTATTTTTATTAAAACACATTAAAAACTATACACAGAAATAATATAGATGAAGGGCAAGCATTTTACAAAGCAGTTAACACTCAGTGTGTTGTTTATAGAATCATCAACTCAATTATATTTTATTACATATTTTACCATTGGTTAAGTTGTACAGCTCTGTACCCATAAGGAGAGTAAATGGAAGATGCAAAACGGCCATAGCTTGATGACACAGGATAAACAGATCCAGGGTATAATGATTGTACTGGGTATAATGAAGGAGCGGAGTATACCGATGGTACAGCGTACGAACGAGAGATAACCGCTGGGGATGCAGAAGAGTAGACAACTGGCGACTTAACAACGGAAGGAACAACAACAGGTGCAGCGGCTACCAGTGGGTCTTTACGCACAACCGCGTTGAATCCGTTCACATCGTCAGCTGTGTAGTCTACTACACGTCTAGTACCGTCGGGGTCCACCAGGGAATACTGTCCCTTCACAACCCCACCGGAGCGAGTTTCAACTTGACTCTTGTAGTCACCAGTGTTGGGATCGGCGACATCGTATGAGAAGCTGGAGACGTCATTATCCACTTTTATCACTGAACATTGGGCCGCAACTACGAGGGCCGAAATAAGTACAAAGAACTGGAAAGTAAACACGCTGTCTTAAATTTCAATACTATATAATAAAGTATTCTATTCACATATAATTGAATTATTTTATCTTACCTTGGATGCCATTGCTACTGTGAGAAATATTTGTGTCAAACGAATAAATATTGATCAAATTTTAAGCTTTATATATGTTTCTTGCATCCTTTAAAGTCTAAATAGGTACCGGTTGGTGTTTTGAATTAGAGCAGTTAAGTGTGTAATAATTATTTTATTTCCTTAATATATTAAGTATGTGAACATTACCTCAAACAAAACCTACAAATAATAGTTATATACAAACACAGAAATGTTTCGTGAGTATTTATATGAATGGAATTAATATTTTCAGAGTTTACTACGCGCATTTTATAGTTTTTAAAATCTCCCGAAGTTTCTCGAATTCCCGAAGAAATTAGTATAATATAAAAAGGCATCAAAATACTCTTGATATTTTTACAAATGACATTTCAAACATTGAAAGAATTTGAGGGGTTGAAACGCCGACATTTTGCACGCGTTTTGCGTGACGTCACACGTCACAGTCAGTGAGTCTTTGCTGTGAACTTTTCAGTTACCGTTACCCTAAGTATTTACAGTTTTAATAACTTTAAAACCATGGAAGAAACCAAAAAATTATCTTATAAGTATTGTATGGTACTTGAGTAAACAAATACTATTTCAAAAAAACACCTGACAAAGAGTTTATCGTATTTCAAGTAATGCGAAAATACTTAGTTCAAATCCTTTTATCAAACCGAATGTAATGGCCTGAATTTTCCATTGGACTTTCACACACTGCTGATTACAACGTCTCCTTTTTGTAATGTTTGAGACATATTCCTTCATCCTTGTATCGATGCTTCTTTTTGTATGTATGTGTAATGTATGATAAGTCACAGTCACAATTGATTTGTACATATAAACCCGTTTGTTTATTATTGTTGAGGTCTCAAGAATTGGCACTTTCTTGTGTGTTTTGTATATAGTCTTGATCAAAACGTTCTTCAAGATGTTGCCTATTCTGTCAGTAACTCCCTTCACATATGGTAATATCGCAGGTTGTCTCTCAACTTGGGTGGCTTCTTACAATGCTTAATACACCACTCTATCTAGCTCCCGTGTGCAAATCTTTGTGACATATTGCCCTACACCTTTGTGATGCTGACTATCTAAATAACGATTTGCAGCATGTAAAACTTGCTCTTACATATAAAAGCTTGTTATTGTGTCAGACCGACTCGAAGCAGTCTGAAGCAGTGGCGTGGTGGTAGTTTTTAGAAATGAATACATTTTCTTTTTCGTAGTGATTTGTATTTTTAATAAAATAAAACTGAATTCACACCTGGTACGACTTACCTCTAGTGTATAATCTGAACCCAATTATTTTTGTTGTTAGAAAGATAACTTTCTTATTCTTTGATCATTTCAAGAAAAAGTTATCAAGTCTCCATAGTATCGTTTCCTTAACAATCACGAGTTCATTCTTTTGCAAGATATTACACAACATACGTATTATTTAAAATATATTATTCATTTTTAAGTATAACTAATTTCGTTAAAGTTTGTCTCGAAAAATACAACCTCGTTGGTTAAGGATGACATGTACATTATACTTCATCATCATCATCGTTTCAGCTGAAAGACGTCCACTGCAGGACATACGCGTAGGCCTCCCACAAGGATCTCTACGACGACCGGTTTTGTGCCACCCGCATCCAGCGAATAATACATATCAAAATTGAATTTTTAGCCTTATTTTAATAGAATCAAGTTTCAAAATGAGAACAATTTTGTTGATAAAATTTAAACAGTCTACATAGCATGATGTATTCATGAACACGTATAACGTGGTTACAGGCTTACAACCCAAATCAAAACAAAGCCTAAAAATTTAAATTTTTATCTAAATACTTCCGTATTCATTTTAATGTACATAAAACGTTTAATTGTACAAATACTTAAAGATGTTTATAAAAAAAATAATAAATTTTCTGAACATTAGTTAAATAAAAATCAGTCAAAATTTTCAAAGTGTGACCTTAACAATGTCCTTGAATGGTGAAATAAAAAAAATATTATTTTTATTTTGTATGAAAATACAATTAAGGCATCTATGGAATTGATGAATAGAATATTTATTTTATATACAAAAATCCCTACATAATGTAAGTTATTATGTATATTTTATTTTACCTAGGTAATAACAATAAAAACAAGGGCATTTTTAAAGAGGGAAACCATTTCAATAATACTTCATTTTATTTGTGTTAAATTATAATTTTTATTGAAACACATTAAAAACTATACAGAAATAATATACATGAAAGGCAAGGATTTTACAAAGCAGTTTAAAAGAACATTCACTATGTTGTTTATGAGAGAAAACTCATCAACTCAACTACATTGTATTACATATTTTACCATTAGTTAAGTTGTACAGCTCTGTACCCATAAGGAGAGTAAATGGGAGATGCAAAACGGCCATAGCTTGATGACACAGGATAAACAGATCCGGGGTATAATGATTGTACTGGGTATAATGAAGGAGCGGAGTATACCGATGGTACAGCGTACGATCGAGAGATAACCGCTGGGGATGCAGAAGAGTAGACAACTGGAGACTTAACAACGGAAGGCACAACAACAGGTGCAGCGGCTACCAGTGGGTCTTTACGCACAACCGCGTTGAATCCGTTCACATCGTCAGCTGTGTAGTCTACTACACGTCTAGTACCGTCGGGGTCCACCAGGGAATACTGTCCCTTCACAACCCCACCGGAGCGAGTTTCAACTTGACTCTTGTAGTCACCGGTGTTGGGATCGGCGACATCGTACGAAAAGTTAGAGACGTCATTGTCCACTTTTACCACTGAACATTGGGCCGCAACCACGAGGGCCGAAATAAGTACAAAGAACTGGAAAGTAAAGACGCTGTCTTAAATTTTGATCGCATATATTATTATTTTATAAGTTATTAAATTATTGTACCTTACCTGGGATGCCATTGCTACTGTGACGACTATTTGTGCCAAATGAATAAATATTGATCAAATTTTAAGCTTTATATATGTTTCTTGCGTCCTTTAAAGTCTGAATGGGTACCGGTTGGTATTTTGAATTAGATCAATTAAGTGTCATATTTATTATATTTCCGTAATATGTTAAGAATGTGTATATTGCCTCAAACAAAACCTACATACAAATAATAGTTATATACAAACTAAAATACGTTTTACGAGTATTCATATAAATGAAATTAACAATATCTGATTACTACGCTAATTTTATTGTTTTAAAATCTCCCGAAGTTTCTTGAATTACCAAAGAAATTGGTCCCTGTTGGTGTTTTGGATTAGAGCAATTAAATGGATAATAATTATTATATTTCCGTAATATGTTAAGAATGTGAATATTGCCTCAAGCAAAAGCTACCTACAATTAATAGTCTTATGTAAACACAGATAGGTTTCAGTGAGATCTAAGGCTTTCGTGAGTGTTCATTAAAATGAAACTAATATTTTCGGATTATTACGGGCATTTTATTATTTCAAAAAACTGCATACTCCCAACGTTTCGGTTACATTTCAGCAACGTGACGAGATGTGAATGTCTGTCAGCCTTTCTTGTTATTTATCATCTAGCACCAACGATTTCTTTTTTCCAGCGTACCAGTCTGAATGGCGTACAATGCGCTTACGGTGTCACGAGTTCCTGAGGTGTTTTGACGAACATGGGATTTTATATTTTTTATGAGGGGTTCCCAGGTGTTGGATAGATTCCAGCCATCTTTTTTATAGAAATAAAGGATATTCATGCTTTTGTTTCTGTCTTAAATTAATAGTTCAGTACTTTATATCATAGAAAAAAATATAAATAGGCTTCAAAATATTCTAGATATTTTATAAAATGGTATTTGAAACATTGAAAGAATTTGAGCGGTTGAAACGCCGTCATTTTGCACTTATTTTGAGTGAAGTCACACGAAACAGGCAGTGAGTCTTTTCAGTTACATATCTGTACGTATTTACAGTTTTAATGATTTTAAAACCATGGAAGAATCCAAAAAATTATCTTATAAGTATTGTATAGTACTGGAGTAAACAAATACTATTCAAAAAACCTCTGACAAAGAGTTTTATGTATTTGAAGTGATGCGAAAATACTTATTTCAAATTATTTTAACGTTTAACTTTCTTGAGTGTTTTGTATATAGTCTTGATCAAAACTTTCTTCAAGGTGTTGCCTCTTCTGTCAGTAACTCCCTTCACATATGGTCATATTGGAGGTTGTCGCTCATATTGGGCGGCTTCAAGTGGTTATTGTGATGCTTCACACCTCTATCCTATCCTGTTAGTTACCGTTACCGTCTGAAGTTGTGGCATGGTAGTAGGTTTTAGAAATGCCTACAGTTTCCTTTTCGTAGTGATTGGCATATTTAATAAAATAAAACTTAACTCGCACCAGGTACGACTTAGGCCTAGTGTCTAAACCTAATTATTTTTGTTGTTAGAAAGATAAATTTTTTACTCTTTGATCACTTCAAGTCAAAGTTATCAAGTATCCCTACTATCGTTTCCTAAATGATCACCAGTTCATTATTTGCAAGACATTACACAACATACAAATTATTTAGAGTATATTATTCATTTTATAAGTAATTTCGTTAAAATTTGTCTTTGAAAATACAACCTCGTTGGTTAAGGATGACATGTATATGATACTTACCCAAATCGTTTTTTTTGTCTTATTTTTATAGAACTAAGTTACACGATGAGAACAGTATTGTTGTTAAAATAATTAAAACAAGCTACTTAGCATGATGAATTCACGAACATATACAAGCTTAAAACCAAAATCAAAACAAAGCCTAAACGTTCAAATTTCAATCCAAATACTTCCGTATTCATTTTAATGTACATAAAACATTTAATTGTACAAATACTTGAAGATGTCTATTAAAAAAATAATTAATTGACTGGAAATTACGTACTTAAATAAAAATCAATTAAAAATAAATAAATTGTGACCCTAACAATGCCTTTGAATAGTGAAATGAAAAATCATAATTTTTATTTTGTAAGAAAATCCATTTAAGGCGTCTATAGAATTGAAGAATATATATAAATATTTTAATACAAAGAATAGTAAAATTCCTGATTCCGCTATCAGATTCGTGTGTTTTACCTTACATGTACTTATGATAATAATATTATAATAAGTGAATATTTAAAGAAGGAAATCACTTCAATAATACTTAATTTTATTTGTGTTAAATTATTATTTTTATTGAAACACATTAAAAACTATACACAGAAATAATATACATGAAAGGCAAGCATTTTACAAAGCAGTTTAAAAGAAAATTCAGTATGTTGTTCATGAGAGAAAAACTCATCAACTCAACTACATTGTGTTACATATTTTACCATTGGTTAAGTTGTACAGCTCTGTACCCATAAGGGGAGTAAATAGGAGATGCAAAACGACCATAGCTTGATGACAGAGGATAAACAGATCCAGGGTATAATGATTGTACTGGATATAGTGAAGGAGCGGAGTATACCGATGGTACAGCGTACGATCGAGAGATAACCGCTGGGGATGCAGAAGAGTAGACAACTGGAGACTTAACAACGGAAGGCACAACAACAGGAGCAGCGGCTACCAGTGGGTCTTTACGCACAACCGCGTTGAATCCGTTCACATCGTCAGCTGTATAGTCTACTACACGTCTAGTACCGTCGGGGTCCACCAGGGAATACTGTCCCTTCACAACCCCACCGGAGCGAGTTTCAACTTGACTCTTGTAGTCACCGGTGTTGGGATCGGCGACATCGTACGAAAAGTTAGAGACGTCATTGTCCACTTTTATCACTGAACATTGGGCCGCAACCACGAGGGCCGAAATAAGTACAAAGAACTGGAAAGTAAACACATTGTTTCAAATTTTTATTCGATATAATAAAGTATTCTATTCACATATAATTAAATTATTTTATCTTACCTTGGATGCCATTGCTACTGTGACGACTATTTGTGTCAAATGAATAAATATTGATCAAATTTTAAGCTTTATATATGTTTCTTGCATCCTTTAAAGTCTAAATAGGTACCGGTTTGTTTTTTTAATTAGACCAATTCAGTGTGTAGTAATTATTATATTTCCGTAATATTTTACGAATATGAACATTGCCTCAAGTACAAGCTACCTACAAATAATAGCCTTATAGAAACACAGATACCCGGCGTCGTCGGGGTGATCTTTAGTGCCGGGATGGATCAACCAGTCGCTTGTTTGACCTGTTGCTGACACATCCAGGTTACACCGACTTAGCAGCCGATGGCTTTCGCAGTGGTTTTAGTGAGTAGGTGCCTTCCCAGGCCGAGTCTCACAAATCCCTTCCTGTACCACCAAGGCCGGTCGGACAGCGTCGTAAAAAAAGTAAAATCATCGTAAAAAGAATTACCATGCGTCATCAAAAAAAAGGTTGTCGCTCAAATGTGGGTAGCTCCAAGTGGCTCTTGCTACGCTTCACACCACCTTCTATTCAGTTAGCTACCATATGCAAATCTTTGTTACAGTGAGTTCAACCCCTTTGTGATGCTGACCATCTAGAGGCCGAGCTTGTAAAACATGCTCTTACATCTGAAAGCTTGTAAATGTGTCGGCCCAACGAGCTTCAGATCGACGCAAAGCAGTTTGAGGAAGTGGCGAGGTAGTAGTTTTTGGTATTTCTTAAAGTACAATTTTCACAGTGGTTTTGAATAAAATAAAACTGAACTCCCATCATGTACGACTTAGTTCTAGCCTCTGATTTGAACCTAATTATTTCTGTGCTCTTTAAGGTAAATTTTTTACTCTTTGATCACTTCAAGCCAGAGTTACCAAGTATCCCTAGTATTATTCCCTTAACGATCACCAGTTCATTGCGTGTACTACATTGCACGTCATACGTATTATTTAAAATATATTATTCACTAAATACGTATTTTCTTTAAAATTTGTCTCTGAAAATACAACTTCGTTGGTTAAGGATGACATTTACATGATACTTATACATATTGATTTTTGGGCTAGTGACTTTTTTTATAAAGAAATATAGGTCATTTTAATTGAAATAAGTTTCAGAATGAGATTAGTTTTGTTGATAAAATTTAAACAAGTTACATAGCATGACAAAATCATGAACACGTACAGGCTTAGAACCCAAACAAAGCAAAACCAAATCGTTAAAGTTTTAATCCAATTACTTCCAAATTTATTTTAATTTATATAATACACTATACTGTACAGTTACTAAACAATGTCTGGTAAAAAAATAATGAATTATTGAACATTAGTTAGGCCTAGTAGTCAGTGGTAGCCTAGTGGTTAAGGGGCCCGCCTCTCGTTGCCGTGGGCGCGGGTTCAAACCTGGCAAGTACCAATGTGATTTTTCGGAGTCATATGTACTTTCTGAGAATATTTAGACACCACTGACATACGGTGAAGGAAAACATCGTGAGGAAACCTGGACTTATAGTTTCATAATTATAAGTTTGAAATCACCAACCCGTCTTGAGCAAGCGTGGTGATTAATGCTCAAACCTTCTCCATGTGAGAAAGAGGCCTTGCTCAGCAGTGGGCTCTGATAGGCTGATGACGATGATGACGAACATTAGTTAAATAAAAATCAGTCAAAAATAATTAAATTGTAATCCTATCAATGTCCTTGAAGAGTGAAATAAAAAATCATTATTTTCATTTTGTAAGAAAATCCGATTAAGGCGTCTATAGAATTGTAGAATAAAAAGTTTTTTTTAATACACAGAATAGTAAAATACCTGATTATTTTACCTTACATTTGCTTAATGTAACAATATTATAATAAGGGTATTTTTAAAGAAGGAAATCACCTCAATGTCCTGTCTGATTATGTCTTTCAAATAATAAAAAATCATTATTTTATTTTGTAAGAATAACAAATTAATGCGTCTAAAGAATAGAAAAGTAAAATAATTATTCACAATATAAAAAATAGTAAAATCTGTTATTCTACTGTAAAATTTGTTTATATATAATTTTTTTGTTGGATTACCAAATAAATAAATATATTTAAATTTACTTATTAAACATAAGATTAAATTAACATTAAACATGTTATAATAATTAAAATAACAAGGGTATTTTTAAAGAGGGAAATCACTACAATAATACTGCATTTTATTAGTGTTAAATTATTATTTTTTATTGAAACACATTAAAAACTATATACAGGAATAATATACATGAACGATAAGCATTTTACAAAGCAATTTAGAAGAAAACTCAACATGTTGTTTATGAGAGAAACACTCATCAACTCAACTATAGGTTCAGAGAATATGGGCACGCAAAAGCAGTTCCTACGGCAGGGTTATAACTCTCAATTATAGCTGATGATCACAAGTTTTTTATTATAAACATATTTGCATTTATTACCACTGGTTAAGTTGTACAGCTCTATAACCATAAGGAGAGTAAATGGGAGATGCAAAACGGCCATAGCTTGATGACACAGGATAAACAGATCCAGGGTATAATGATTGTACTGGGTATAATGAAGGAGCGGAGTATACCGATGGTACAGCGTACGAACGAGAGATAACTGCAGGGGATGCAGAAGAGTAGACAACTGGAGACTTAACAACGGAAGGCACAACAACAGGAGCAGCGGCTACCAGTGGGTCTTTACGCACAACCGCGTTGAATCCGTTCACATCGTCAGCTGTATAGTCTACTACACGTCTAGTACCGTCGGGGTCCACCAGGGAATACTGTCCCTTCACAACCCCACCGGAGCGAGTTTCAACTTGACTCTTGTAGTCACCGGTGTTGGGATCGGCGACATCGTATGAAAAGTTAGAGACGTCATTGTCCACTTTTACCACTGAACATTGCGCCGCAACCACGAGGGCCGAAATAAGTACAAAGAACTGGAAAGTAAACACGCTGTCTTAAATTTTGATTCAATATAATTAAATATTTTTTCATATATAATAAAATTATTTTATCTTACCTTGGATGCCATTGCTACTTTGAGAAATATTTGTGTCAAATGAATAAATTTTGCCGAAATTTTAAGCTTTATATATGTTTCTTGCATCCTTTAAAGTCTAAATAGGTACCGGTTGGTATTTTGGATTAGAGTAATTAAATGTGTAATCATTACTATATTTCCGTGATATGCTAAGAGTGTCGACATTGCCTCAAGCAAAATCTACCGGCAAATAATAGTTTTATATAAATACTGATAGTTTTTTTTTTGTTTTTAGACTGATTTATGAGTGTATTTATATTTATTGTAAAGCATTATGCACGATATTTAGTTTATTAAAACATTTTAAGTTTAAAAATTTCTAGTTCTATTTAATTCCTGTTAAAACTAATACGAGACGGTAAAGCCGGTCTTATGAAAAATAATAGCTATTTTGAGAGATCGAGTTTATGAAGAAGCAACAAAGAAGGAACTTTGGTCTTTTGTTTCTTTTACTTCTTGATCAAAATATATGTTTATTTGAAAATCTTTTTATTAGCTATGATAAATTGTATGAATTTTGTTGAGTTTTAACAACTATGAAGTATTGTTTCTTATTACTTAATAGATAACTTATTAACATCAGTAAAATTGTATTGTATTGGGTAGTTGCTATTTAGTTCTTTTCAATAAAGAGGAATGATTTAGTTGTAATATTCAAAATGTAAATAATGAATCATAATATACTCGTATGTATCTGAATTTAATAATGTACTTGTTTTACAACCAGACATTTTATTGATTTTTTTGTGGTAATCTGGTAAACGATTCAAAATCATATTATGGTCATAAATTTTACTTGTTAAAGAGTCAAAATTATTGCCTTATTACTTTTGCAATCGGCTTTTTAAAACATATAATAAATACTAAATTGAATTGTTTTAAGTTGTCTAGAAACTATTTCAAATAATTTTAATATAAAATTTAGGATTATTGAAATTTCAAGTCCATTCTATTAAATAAATGATATACCTATTAAGTTTTTATAGTTTTTGGGAGATTCTATAACAAATGCACGCTTTAATCAGCGTATACTGGAATATAATAACAAACAGATTTGATCTGACGTAAAACATATAGCCACACGACAGTTTAATTCAGCTGAGGTGCTATTTAGTGTAATATAAGAGACTGTCATAAAATGGTTGTGACTCGTAAAGTTTTAAAGGTAATTTATGTATACATGAAAATAATTTAATAATATATGCTTTTAATACAAATTGGAGCGGTGATTTGCCGGAATGGCATTACGAACCTCAGTAAATCATCAGACTGATGATTTACTGGGATCTTTTGTGTTTTAGTTTTGCGAATTAGTTTTATTTTGTCTGTAATTAAAAAAAATATATGTTCAAGATGGCTTTTAGTCAGGTTTTCCTTCGATAACTTTTTTTTTATATTGATATATAAATTTTTATAACAATAAAAATTATTACATTTTCTTAAGATTAAATCATTACCACCTCAGTAAATGTATTTCTGATGAAGAAAGTTAATATAGACAACACCCCCAAAGAAGCTCTCAATTTGATTCTTGTAGTCACCGATAGTAGGATCCGAAATGTCGTGCGTAAGGATGGATATATCTTTACCAAGAGTGAGACTGCACAATAGTTCACAGCCAGAAGTACAGTAAAAATTCTCTGTTATTCAAAGTGTCATAAAAAATAAAAATTGTATAAATTATATTAAGACTAACATTAGAAGCCATTATTGTAACCCGAGAATTTTTATCAATTGAATAAAATCGGAACAATTACGAGATTTTTTATGTTTTCTAGGTATGTTTAATAGGTACCGGTTGATCTTTTAAATATGTATGTCCTGTTATCTTATTTGTTAATTAATTAAATATGCGAAACTTATTAAGGAAATAAAAAACTACCCATGACTACAAAGCCTAGCGAGATTTTACGACGTGAATAATTACTACGGTAGATGAATCTCAATATTTTATCATACAGAGTCACAAAACAATAGTTGAATTTTATATGCTTATATGTATATGTTTATATAATAATAATAATAATAATAATAATAAACTTTTATTTCAACCAATCTGATCATATTTACAAAATTGTTAGTAAAGTGCACTCCTTAACCTATTGTTAGTAAGAAAAAAAAAAAAAAAAAAAAATACATAACTTAAAATTATAGTGTTACAGTACCTTTCTGACATGATTTGTTTGTCAGCACATGGACCATATTGCAATGGTTCAAGTACTGACAATCAAACCTGTCAGAAAACGCTACTAGGATGCTGTTAGAACTGGCTCGAACCCTACGCACCAGGGATGCACACCGTTTACGCATGGTCGCGTAAAAGCAGTCCACATTCGCCTCGGCGAACATCCCAGACGCGCTGCAGAATCGAGGCAGCCCCATCAGCAACCTAAAAGCGTTGTTGTACTGCACACGTAAGGCGTTGTACTGTTTTTGCCAATAATCAATCCACAGGCGAATTATGATTGTATACTAAATGTCTTATTATTATTTAATGGACAAATTCAATATGTCAAATTATTTTTTATTGAAATATGTTTTTACAAACCATATTTGGTTTGTTAATGTGTACATACTTATATTATACTTATATTTCTCTCTCTAGTCGTTACTCTTGACATAGTGGTCGTGGTTGATGATTCTGAACTTTCTTTGGCTAAAATAGCTTGCGATGCGCCTCCACTAATTCCGGTCTTCTGAGTTTCGGAAACTCTGAAGTATGGAGGTTTGTGTCATACTGTTTTATCTATGTATATATAATTTATTTCAGGCTGCTATAGAGCTGTAATATATGTACGAGATGGTAACAGAATTAAAAATGTTTGAGAACTAAATAAAAGTTTTAAAAGTTTCTAGTAGTATATAATAATCATAAGATTACTTAAATTTCCTTAACTTTAGTCCATAAATTTTGATTTATCTTTTAATTTGAACCTAATAATATACATACATATATGACACCATACATCAAATTTAAGAATTGGTAAACATGAAATATTTTCAGAAATGGTCATAAAAGTTTGAGATGGCAAGTCTACTGTAATAAATTTATTGCAATTTGAATTAACTAGCTTGATTGGAGAAGCCTTATCACACTGAAGGATGTCTGAGAGCTTTTAGGGATCTTGATTTAAATCAAAAGAGGTTTCGGGTTTGCGCATCTTAATGCTATCTTTGCTAAGTGTCGAAATCGTCTGTATCTTATCCGGAAGAGGATGACTGCCTCTTTCAATTGTTCTTGAGCGAAAAAATCTTTTCCCGATAATAAGACTGTCAAAGGGATTGTACCATACGTACTTTGATGAATTGTGGTAACTGATGGTAAAGAATTGATATTCAAACACTTGCAGAATTTAATATAACCATCACCGACTTTCCTATGAGAAATATATCAACACAAAATACTTAAAAGTGAAAAATATTTTTTTTAAGGTTTTCAAAACAATTTATTGAAACATATATAAATTCTATTATTTCGATAATGAAAAGACAATATATTTAATTTGATTCTGTAGGACCAATGTAATAAACATGGGCTACCAATACATAATATGGCATTACAGAAATAATTAAAATCATTTACTTATAAATAGTTTTATTTTTTTGTTGGATCTAAAAAAATATATGTTTTGCGATTTATCTGTATCAAGATCAAGTTATATAATAATTATTGTTTATCTGCGCTAGTAAATGTCACTACAAACGATCAATTTACTACATTATTCAACAATTCTATAGCGTAATTTACCGGTTTGACTTCATTAAAAACGTATTTTAATCAAATAAAAATTTCAACAGTAATGCTCCTTAGAAATATTGTTCGAATAATAATAACGTATAGGTAGATATAGTAAAATAATAATGTCTCAAACTCTAATTGCTTTTTTTTCATACATATACCAATTTTACATTTTAGATTCTGCATCATAATGATTCTAATGTCAGTTTTATTTTCATTTATTAATATTTTTTTTTAACTTTCTTTAGTAAAATTATTAAAATTCAGTGGAATGAACAAAATATATCTTTTGATTATTATCAACTTTATTAATGATAAGAAGATTTTACTAAAGTAGCCTAGCTGAATAATGTGCAGAAAAACAATCAAAATTGTAGTTATGTTATAAGTTTTTATTCTAACAAAACTAAGTTGTTTAAGTAAGTCCATATCAATATGTAATGTGTTCAGTTAAAATTGTAAAACAAAAATGAATATTACCATATGTCCGTTTAATAGTTAGGAAGTCATCAAAAGCATGACTTAATTTAGGTTTTATTATACATATTTGGATATATTTTTACTAGTAACCTGTATTTAAAAAAGACTAAACTACGAATAGTACATACTTCTGGATATTTTTTTTATATTGTTAAAAGCTAATGCTCATGACAAGATTAAGTATTTTAAACTAAACAAAATATTTATGTATCTTTATGGAAAATAAAATAAGTAAAATACTTTTATCTTTATGTATCAGTAACTAATTAGCAGCTTAAAACTTTTTGGTTTTTTTTTTTATCCAAAATTATTTTATATTTGTTTTTTAACATAAATACAACGTAATTGTATATAAAATAGTTTAATACAGTAGTTAAATATTTGCTTCTTTAATACATGTATCTCCATGAACCAGTTTCCTTTAAGTGGACTTAGAAGGATTTATTATAAATGGTAAATTAATAAGAACCTTGTTATCGGTAACGGTCTATTTAAGAAAAGAAAATTAATTTTTATGATCTTATTTTCGATGATATGCTCAGTTAAAAATTAATAATTGTTTGATTTGTGTTTAATTAATTTTAAACCTTCAACTTTTACAAGGTTTATCGTTTGAGTTACCGACAAATTTAAGCTTTTGTCATACTAGTATGATTTCTAGGCACTATGCTTAGAGCTCAAATAGTAATGGTAAGTTTCTATACGATAAACAGGTTATTAATTTATTGAAACCATTCGTTTAAGATAGATACTTTATTTTAAAAACAATATGAATATTATGTACATTATATAAATATTTACAAGTCGTTCCAGTATATTATTATCTGATAAATATTACTTCGTATTTCGAAGGAAGTTTAAATTTACCAGTAATTAAGAGGGGCGGGGTGTACTCCGTAGGCTGCATAGTAAGGTGATGGGTAGGCACGGGCAGCGAGAAGACCGTGGCCGGCAGCAGAATACCAAGGTGCTGCGTAAGATGCAGCATAGTAGGAAGGAGCACCATAGGCCTTAGCTACGAGAGACGGAGCGGAGGCAGCGTAAGATACAGGGGAAGAGGCGTAAACTGCAGGAGAAGCAATTGCACGGGATGCAAACACTGCGGGGGCAGCTGCAGCGTAGACAGCTGGAGCAGCGACTGTACGGGTGGCAACAACAGCTGGGGCAGCTGCAGCATAGACAGCTGATCCAGAAAGAGTATGGCTGGCTACGACTGCCGGAGCAGATGCAGCATAAACGGCAGGAGCGGCAAGAGTTCGTGCAGCTACGACGGAAGGACCAACAGCTGCAACGGCTGGAGCCGAGGCAACAACAGCAGGAGCTGAAGCTACAACAGCTGGAGCTGAGGCAACAACGGCTGGTGATGAGGCAACAACTGCTGGAGCTGAAGCTACAACAGCTGGGGCAGCTGCAATAACTGCAGGGTCTTTACGGACTACTGCATTGAATCCATTGACATCATCAGCAGTATAGTCAACTGTGCGTTTTGTGCCATCAGCGTCAAGCAGTGAGTATTGTCCCTGGACGTTGCCACCAACGCGGGTTTCAACTTGACTCTTGAAGTCACCGGTGTAAGGGTCGGCCACGTCGTAAGCGAAGCTCGTGTAGTCGGCGTCTGCTCGCGCAACTGGCACCACTGAGCAGTGAGCCACAGCGGCCACGGCGGCGAGTACTACAACCAACTGAAAATAAGTACGTATAATATTAAAAACAGATCTACTTACTATATTTGAAGATTGTAATTTTTACGACAATTTTTATATCCCAATTTCCTAGATTGTTGTTTGATGAAAGAAAAATTAATATTTCTTAAAACACAGCACTTTTGCAAATCACTTTCTCTATATTAAAAATTTCAATTCCGTTAAACAATTTATTTTACCTTAGCTGCCATTGCTGTTTAGACGCGAGAATCTCGTACAATGAGTACAGAGTAACCAGACAAGAGCTTTTATATGGATCGCACATACGAGGGCGTGCCTCAAGTTGATCTTTAAAATGCGTACACTAATGTGGTAGCGATGGATCCGGAAACGCAAGGTCGTTTACTAAGGAAAGTACAAAGAAATTACTCGACTCGACATTTAATTCTGGGTAACTAACTAACGTCATTTGTTACAGTGTAGGAGTTAGAGGTTCTATAAGTAATATCAATAACAAATTCTAAATACATATTGAGTTTTATTAACAATTTTAAATACATATGCATACGATGTATGTGTGTATGTTAATATTCTATCTTTTAACAAATTATTTTAAATACTGTCCATTATAAATTGTTTTCATATTGGATTTCTTATAAACTAGATGTGTTTTATATATTACAATATCAATGGTAATGTTTGTTACATTGCAAATAAAAAAAATCTCGTTCTATGTATAACAGATTTATGGGAGCTTGCTGGTTAAGAAATAAAATTTCTTTTCGGCTTTATCTTACGTTACCAAGATCGTGCATGTTCCATTTTGCAATTTTTATCTGTTCCTTTTTTGTTCAAAATTATGATATGAATATTAAGATACTATTGTTTGCCAAAATGAGTCGACATATGGCGTCCGGTTGCTAAAAATTATGGTATTTATTTTTCCCATTGGTTAACCCGTCACGTATTCGGTCCAAATTCAGAATATATTACTGAATTGTGGTTGGTATGTTAATACTATTTTTATTCGGCAGCAGATGTTTTATATAATAGTAAATTGCTCTTATGAAGAAACCATATTAATGTCTATATTCTTTGAGAGGATATACATGCATATACATATAACAGTTGTGTTCGTTTGTTTGATTTAAAGTATCTTTGTTATTTTTATTGTTCAAATGTAATCTACATTAAAGAAAATCGGATGATGATTTTTTTAATAACAATTTAAAAAACAAACGTTTTGATCAAAAGTCGTGAGGTTGAAAAAGAAATTAAAAAAAGTAATGGCGCAATAGTGAAATAACAAGAAAATTGTTACAAATGCATTAGAAGTGAACAAAACTGTTTGTGTACAATATTAAACATAATTTCTTATGATCTCCTTGAATTATGAAATGTAGGACAGTTGTTGTTAACGTTTTAGCTGATATAACTTAGAACGAAGATTTTATTAAAAGAAAAGTTTATCGATTGACATGTTGCATTATTATTTATATACATACATAATACAGTATATTTTTATTAAAAAATAAATAAGTTACAAAATAACAGTTTGTAATTTCGTGTTTATAGTATTTTCTATGCAGTCATACATTTAGTATCTTCAATAAAATAATATTCTCAATTTCATAAAATAATTTCTATAAAATAAATTCATATATTGAAAAATCACTCACGCACAACATTGTATTATTAATGAATAAATCATAATTACATATCAAGTACATTCCAATCAATATTATCATTGCTCTGACTTTTCTTAATATCACAGGAAGATGTAAATTACTGTATGTAATAAAGGTTCACATTTCCGCAAATAAACCTGATCACAACGTAATGTGGCTTGACGTCCTTGCGCCTATTTCATAAATTGTTATCAATGAATTTTTAAACTAAATATTCTTAAGACTAATGTGTGAATTGTATAAACTTGTTTAAATCATTATATAGAATTATTTTTAAATTATTATTATGTTTTTAATTATTATCGTGACTATAGCCATTTATATATTTTATAAACTATTACCTATTTTGGATCATTTTGATATCATGAACTGTATTGGCTTCTTGTTACTTTTTTATTGGTCATATTGTATTACACATTAAAATATTCTTTATTTTGCAACTATCGGTCGTCGGCGAAAATATTTGTTCTTGTTTAATGCTAAGATTTTATTTTTTTCTAGACTTACCACCGTGAGAGCGACGTTTGATGTAATAATTTTATGGTCTGAGTTTGGTAATACACCAAATTTATTTACCATAATATCAACATTAGCCTATCAGTGACCACTGCTGAGAAAAGATATGTTCTCACATGAAGAAGTTTAAAGCATGAATCACCACGCTTGCTCAAGGCGGATTGGCGATTTCAAACTTATACTTTGAAATGATGAGTCCAACAGACGTTTTCTTTCACCTCCTGTCAGTGTTGTCTAAATACTCTTAGAAAGTACATTTACCTCGAAAAAAAACACATTTTGTATTTGCCTGGTTTTGAACCCGAGCCGTCATACATGAGAGATGAACCTTAACCTCCAGGCCATCAAGGTTTATTTACCATAGTAAAATCAATTTGTGCAAAAATATATTTTGTTTATATATGTAGTATTAAAGCAAATAGTTATTTTACTTCTTATTAACATATATGAATAGGAGAACATATTATATAACTTTATGATGTAGTCTTTATCAGTTATATAATTTAAAATGTCGATAATTTTATTCGATTGAACTAAAGATCAATGTGATGTTCAAGTCAATAACAGCTCTTAAGTTAACTGTGCTTTTAATAGGTCAAAACACACTTTTTCTTAAAAATTATTCGAACATTTTTAAGGAAACAGTTGCAAATATTACACTGTATTCTTGTGCTCCTGAGAGCATGAAATTGAAACTGAGTTCAAATTATGCTTTTATAGATAATTTTTTCATAACAGTTTTTCTATTTGTTTTTCAGTTTATTTTCTAGTTTTAATATTAAAATATATGTATATGATCCGAAAGCTTGTCTAGAGAATCGCGTGTTTATAAAATAATTTATTTAAATAACTTGATTAATTCAATTTTAAAAACACATAAAGTATGAAACGACGTTATGAGTCATGTTGGATTAAAAAGACATCAAGAATGTAGTAATATATTGTTCCAGAAAATTTATATGTACAAAGATGTCTGTTGAAAATGGTTTTGGAATATTTCACTCAATGGAAATACTTAACGTATATACGTATATATACAAATACATATTTGCATAAGCTGCAAGTTCATTAATAATTTGTTATTAGTAAGACACAATAAAAATTATGTTTCAAAGTGTAGTATAATTGTGAGTTTCGTGCAATCGACTGTAAGTTCCCAACTTTAGGAGAAAAAGTATCTTGTTTATTGAACTTTGAACTTTGTTTTTGGCCCTTTTAAAAACTTCACAATATACTTCGTATTAAATTAAGGAAAAATGGTACATGAATGCAAATTTATTCCTCTAAAATGAATAGATCTATTTACTGTTTTCTGTTTATTTAGAATCGTTTTCATTACATTAAATTAGAAATTCCTAAGGTATGATTGTTAGGTCAGACATAATTCTTGGATTATGAATAAGAAAAGTAACAATATTTACAATTTCTTCCAAAATTAATATAATAAACCTATATAATAATAACATATATTTATATGACACCAATATTGTTAATTACATATCAATATAAACATAATAATAATAAATTTAATAATTAAATTATTGTGCCTCATTGAATATTCCATTTCCTTTTAAAATTTAATGTCCAAGCCGTAGTTCTACTGGTGCTATATTTTTCGTTTTTATTTATTATACTATCTTTATTACTTCGCTTATAAGCAAATTATTATGTATTCATGATTTTACTTAAAACACTGCAAATGACTTTGTTAAAATTTAAACAACCATTTTTACATTTAATTAAAATTGATACGTTTATAAGGCCGTAAAAGGTCTAGGTGGTCGTTCTAACAAGGCCATTTGGTACCAATGGACGCGTGGACGATTGCAATATTTCTTTTAAACTAGCCTCATAATGTAGAACAAAAGTTCATTACACAACGATTTAACGATATACGTTTTCAAAGTTAATTATATATTTAAATGAGGAGTTATGTTGATGTTTGTTAAATAAAAGATACAAAATTATTTTTTATTGTTGACTACTGGTATTCATGTATTAAACAGCAATCACATGATAAATGATTAATCAATTAATTAGCATTACTAACACAGTTTGTATGAGCCCCAGTGATGTTAAAGGTGTCACAATTCACAGTATATGTAAAGTGATATAATTAATGGTGTTGTAATAATTATTATCAAACTGGTGTAAGTTATCACAATCTCACAGTGCTAGATGGTATTTCAATACTAAAATATTTTTAAGGAATTGCAAGTCGTTCGGTTTGATATTGTTTAATTTGCTTAGTGAAAAACCATATTGCATATATGAAAGGAAAATGATTATTGGGTAAAAGATACGACTTTCTCAATATATATGACTAATAATGTAACATTCATATATGTAACGAGACCTTCAAAATAAGTTAACAGACAACATATCGAAATTTATAAAAAAAATAAAACATGTAGAAGTAAAGAGTTTTTATTCACTAACAGCATTTACACTCGACAATCATAACCATCGGCATAATTATTAATTACGAAGGTAGATAAATAAATTCTAATATCGATTTTTAGTAGTGTCCGAGTCCATAAGCGCCATATGCTAAACCATGGGCAAGGGGGCCGGCGAGGGCACCCTGGGACAAAACAGCACCATGAGCCAAAGGCGCAGCGTAGGCAAGGGGAGCTGCTACAGCAGCATGGGCAAGAGGCGCAGCGTGAGCGACAATTCCTCCATGGGATACAGAGGTGGAGTAGGCGGAGTGTGACACGGAGGGACCGGCAGCATATGCAACAGGGGCGGCATGGGCAGCCAATGCCAAGGGAGCGGAATGGACAAGAGGGGATGCGTGAGCAACTGGAGCAGCAAAAACAGCTGCGTGTGCTACGGGTGCTGCAACAACTGCTGGAGCGGCGTGGGCGACGAGAGCTGGGTCCTTGCGTACAACGGCGTTAAATCCTGAATGGGCGTCAGCAGCATAGTCTACAGTACGGCGAGTGCCATCAGATTCCAGCAAGGAATATTGTCCCACAACATTGTCACCCACACGGGTCTCGTGTTGGCTCTTTACATCTCCGGTGTGGGGATCAGATACACCGTAGGAGAAGCTGTTGTAGTCAGCCCCATGGATAGCACTACTCTGTGCTACTGCTACCAGAAGAGAGAAAATAGCGACCTGTAAGAAGAATGTATTGGATAATGAAAATATATTACCAACATTACTGTCTCTAGTATAAAAGAAGAATCCTTTAGATAAAATTTTTGAAAGAAAATCTTTAGTTACCTTTGAGAACATTGTTGTATTGTTGTGTCTAACAAATGACTGATAACCTTTAAATGGTATCGGCCTTTATATAGTGCTATAGTTTTGATGTAGGAACTTGTGAAAGATTGGTGAATGTTGACCTACGCTACGAGGAAATACATTTGTTATATAATTATATTTTAAGATTGTAATGAATGAAAACATTGAATGATTTTTAATTTATAAATGAGGTACGTAAAACAGATTTTGTCTTATGATTTAATTGAACAGTGTTGTTATTACAGTTTCGATTATGAAAAGTACTCATAGGTTTCATCCAGTTATAATCGTTATAAATAAATAGTTAATGTATTATGTACTCATTTAGCTTGATTTTATTTATCACTTCTATTTCAATAAAGTTTGTCAAAGAAAGGTTTCAAGTCATAAATCATAGATAATGGTAAGATTATAAGATTAATATATACTGGCATAACGTTCTACGGAAAACGAGTGTTCAAGTTAGCAAAATTCAAATTGTGCAAAAGTGGAAAATATTCTATCTGATTAAGTTTAGAAGAACAAGAAAATATTTTGAGTTTTTATTTATCTGAGACGCGTTAATTTGTGATTCTCTTTAATGGATGTTAGAGAAACAAGTTCCTTCATAAAAATAACAGAATGCTTCACTTATTTTCTAACTATAGATAGTTACTCTTAAATGAAAATATATAGTAATTGAAGTTTATTACAATAAATCCATTTTTATAATAGTACCATATGGAAGAAAGCCATTCATTATATTATTTCTTCGTATTGATATAAATACAAAGAAATTATTAGGTACTTAATTTAAATATTTTACTTTACATAAACTTATAAAATAATCATTAAATATACAGAATTAAATTCTCGATATTGAGGTTTTTCTATCATTATATCATGTTTATTATGCATTAGTAACTCCGCCTGTAAGGTAATGTTTTTGTGTATCACCATGAGGTGTTGGTGAACTTTTTAAAACACGTCAGTGGGTTTCGTAACAAAGAAGTCAGAACCGTTGTCAAGAGAAGTACCGTATGACTTTTAGAAAGAGGATTATTTTAAAATCTAATAGTAGGTAATGTATTACATATATTTACATACATAAGATATTTTATATATACATATATGTTTGTACACTAAACCTCTTCGTTCTTTTCTTTTATTTAAGAACTAAATTAGAGAGTCCAAGTGCTTTTGCCTTTAAATATCGACTTAAGAGACATCTTCTGTCACTTTTACCTTAATATAATATGTAATTTTTATGTATTTATTATATTTGTATATGTTATGTATATCTATGTAAGTATAATATCTGAATTTTATACTATTATAATTTGGTTTGTATTCCTATATATATATTTATATATATACCTCTTTTTTTATTTTTTCCTTCTCTCATTTTATTGTATCTATTCCACATTTCTCTTCTCATTTCCTCAATCAAAAAGGTTTCTGGTAAAGATCTCTTTTAAGAGATAAGTTATCCTTTGTACATCACATTTCTTTTATCTTCTAATATATAAAATTCTCGTGTCACAGTTTTCGTGCCCATACTCCTCCGAAACAACCTGACCGATTTTGATGAAATTTTTTGTGCTTATTCGGTAGCTATGAGAATCGGCCAACATCTATTTTTCATCCCCCTAAATGTTTATTTTTTATTTTTTAGACAAAATTTTTAATTACTATTTTTTTATGATACAACGTACAAAAATACATACAATCCTAAATTTTCACCCTTCTACGATCAACCCTTATTTTTTAATAGCTATTTTAGTAATTTAATCATTTTTCATCTCCGGTCGATAACTGATCAATCGTCATTTAATAAGTTATCCCCGCCAGATATCTACAGGTGTCACTTCTGACCCAGTAAACAGCACGGAGTAGGGATGAGAACGAAGCCGGTCTTCTGTTTCTCTCACACAATTAGACTTCTCTCACTCCCTACACAGTTGTCGGCCATCGTTATTGTTTGTGCATCAAGTGTAGTAGTAACGTTGACAATTATTATTTTGCTAGCTCAGTGTAACTCTCATATTAACTATTAATCATTCCTAATCACTTCAAAACACGGAGATTTATGGCTTTAATAGGTAAACTCCAAAAATATAAATAAAAAAACGTAACAGATATTTCTTGATTATAGGGCGAAACGAAGTTCGCCGGGTCTTCTAGTAATACTTTAATTGTAATTTTTTTTTTTCTTTTTGGTACATAAATAAATGAATTAAAATACTCGTTGTTTGTAATATAAACTAAAATTAGATTTCATAATTAAAAACTGGTCTCTACTTATTCTTATGAAAATATAAAGTGTAAAAGTCACTGTTTTTTTATTTGCACATGTCAAAATCGAATTAATTGTGCCAAACTAAATTTAGAAGAGGTTAGTAAAAGTAAGATTGGACAATTGTACCTTGGAACATACATTTTATAAAAATATACGTTTATTTCTTATATCTTCTTTAATTTTAATAATTTTCTTTATAAGTTTTGCTCATAGCCTTGAAGATGAGTAGTTATAGCAATGGTCGCTTTACATAATTATTCATCATGAAGTTATAATGTGTTAAGTGATATATGTTTATAATTTTTTTGCATAAAAAGCAACAATAATTAACAAATTTTAAGGTCTAGTTATTTTTTACTTATTATTTTATTCATTAAAATAGTTCATATAATCAGATAGTAAAAATTGCGATTAACATTTGGTAGATATATTTTTAATTAATCTATTTATACTACAGAAAAATGTTATCAATATACTATACCAAATGGTCTAAAGTATCTTGAAACTTCAATTTCAATTCATTAAAACACAAAAAAAACATTACATCTTTTAGAAGATCACAGGACACGAGACAAAGAAATGTTAATTTTTAAAACATTTACAAATATCTTTTTTAATTTATAAAGGCGAAAATATTATCAGTTAACAAATTTAAAATAAAATGTTGTTACGAAATTAAATATCTATTATTACGAAGTTCTCTGAAAATTACGAATTATATAAAAATCTGCTCTTATATTCGGACCTTTCTATAATAAAAGTGTATACTTTTAAAAAAATTGTTAAGAAAACAAACATAAATATTAAAAGTCATTTAATAAAAACAATCACAGCATTTTGTCTTCATTATTTACCATCCTAACCGAGCAGCATATCCGAGTCCGTAAGCACCGTAGGCTCCATAAGAGAGAGACCGGGGAAGAGGAGCAGCGATAGCACCGTGTACAAGAGGAGCGGAGTATGAGTTGTAGACGAGAGGAGAGGATACGGCTCCGTAGGATAAGGGGGAAGCGTAGTAGGCAGATCTTGCGAGGGGAGCGACAAAACCAGCGGCAACAGGAGCGGCGTGTGCGACGACAGCGGGGGCGGCGTGAGCGATCAGAGCGGGGTCCTTGCGTACAACAGCGTTGAATCCGGAGTGTGCGTCAGCAGCGTAGTCCACAGTCCGACGAGAGCCGTCAGATTCCAACAAGGAGTACTGTCCGACCACGTTGTCACCCACGCGAGTCTCGTGTTGGCTCTTCACATCTCCGGTGTAAGGGTCCGAAACTCCATATGAGAAGCTGTTGTAATTAGCACCGTTGATGGCGCTGCTGTGTGCTACAGCTACCAGTAGAGCAAAGGCTGCAATCTGAAAATTAATAATAAATACAATAAAATAGCTATTCATAAAAAGGTTTTCCTAAATAAACGAAAAAAAATCGTTTATATTCTTTCAGAATTAATCACATTCTGGTAAACTTACCTTGGAGAACATATTGTATTGTTTGAGGTCCGTTTAGTAACTGATGTCTTCACAGATTCCACGATCTTTATATAGTACTATTTTTTGAAGTCTACGTATGACGTGTTATAATATTTAGTACAGGAACTTTTGGAACAATTACGCGAACCGACGTTCACTAGGAAGTAGCAAAAATATACATACTTGTTTATATTCATATTCACTTTCGTGTTAAATAGTGAATGACGTTTAATTATTTCATAGGTTAATGCTATTTTTATTTACTTTAATATAATTGAAAATATATTCTTGTTTTAATATGAACCTTTAGTTCCTAGATTAAAGTATGAAAGAAGGAGGTAGGTTATGAAATTGGATTCTTTTGGCCTGAAGCTATTTAAATTGTTAATTACAGTGACTATGGAAGTTGTCTTTTCATTATATAGTTGAAACTTAATAGCTACGAATTATTCATTTTTTAATATAATTACATACCCATGAGTACAAGCAATTGTATATCTCTATTATTTGAAAATACATGTGTATTTTCATATTTTATGATATTGTATACTAAAATATAAATATTTATTTTTAAATATAATAAAACGTATTATTGTATTTAAATAAGACAGAGGTGGCGTGCAAAGATTTTTAATTTTTTAATTTTATTTTAAAGAGCATCAAATTTTATTAAACTTGTGTTGAAACTATTAGAAATACAATAGACTTAAAATTATTTATTTTTAAAGAAGTGTCTTTGAGGTTGCTATTGACTTCGGACTGATTAATTATTCTATGTAAAATCATGTTCCAAATATTCCCATTCTCAACGATGGCTCATTCACGGCATTTAATACTTAACTCTATCTTACACAATAATGATAAGCGTCGGCTATGCTTGTATAAAAAAGCTTCAATGTGTACCGAGTTAGTAAACAAATGTTGTGATTACCACCCATTTAAAGGAAGACAAGTTATTTTTTATTAACAAGTTCATAATACTATTTAATATCGTTATCTTTAAGTTTGGAATTACACCTTTTCTTGTTTTTTTTGTTCATAGCACTTTTCTAATTACCTAATAACGAGACGATGAACCTACGTTTTCTTATTTTGTTAATTTAAATTAGGTACTTTCCGTTTTGAAATAAAGTCATGAAAACTCTAAATATTTTTTAACTTTGTGTATTATCAGAGGATTTAAAGACAATTAAAAATTTTAACATATGATGAAGTTGGATATATATATGTATATAATATTATAAAATTAATTAGGTCTAAAAATGCTTAGTACATGTGTACCGTGTTATATAATACATAAGTATAACTATTGCTTTCAGATATTAATTATTTAATTAAATTTATTTTTATTATTAGATAAAAATAAATAATTATTTCTATAAAATATGTATTAGGTGGGGTAATCGTAAAGGTTTATTTTATAGAAGATAAAACGTGTAAAACCCGTTTAATTGTAACGTAGTGTAAAAGTAGAACCGGATAAATTTGTGCACTCTAAAGTATCCAAGAATGTCAAAGTGAGTAAATATGAAGACAACTGATAATATTACATTTGCTTATAAAACCCAAGGAGGCTACAGTTAAATAAAACTACATAAGTGAAATTATACGCTCGTAAGAGAGTATTTTTCGCTGTTCTTATATATAAAATAGGTAGATTAGAAAGAAAGTAATCCACTAGTGCAATGCCAAGGCTAAAATTTATTCTGTATATCCTTAGATTGAGAAAATCAATAAAGATTTTGATTTTTAAGATATAATTCTGTCACATTGTCACCATAAAATGCGATAAGAAATTCGTTAAATAAAATTAAATCGAAGAATATTTCTTTTCATTTATATTATAGACTCTGTTACAGGTGTTGCGTTACTTGATAAAATCCCAGTTTTCTATTCCAATGGTATTGTCGAGTTCAGTGTGTCAGAATTTATTTTTAATAAGAGGATGATATCTCGACAAAATATATATCTATATCTTATTAAGAATCAACAATAAAGCAAAGGGATTTTTTTAAATATATAAAGGTAGGTACAGTCAATCAATTACTATTTAGACAGGGTACTGCTACCATTTCCAAAACAGCATTTTTCGTTTTCACAGTATGATACAGGAATATTATAAAAACAAAACTAAATTATTTTGTCATATTAAGCATATATTATGTATTTTTACAGCATTTATTTTTCAGTGTTTACCATCCTAACCGAGCAGCGTATCCGAGTCCGTAAGCGCCATAGGCTCCATAAGGGATATAACGGGCAAAAGGAGCGGCGTATGAGTCGTAAGCAGCTCCGTAGGATAAAGGAGAGGCGTAGTAGGCAGCTCTTGCGACTGGAGCGACGAAACTAGCGGCAACGGGAGCGGGGGCAGCGTGAGCGATCAGAGCGGGGTCCTTGCGTACAACAGCGTTGAAACCTGAGTGTGCGTCAGCAGCATAGTCCACAGTCCGACGAGAGCCGTCAGATTCCAACAAGGAGTACTGTCCGACCACGTTGTCACCCACACGAGTCTCGTGCTGACTCTTCACATCTCCGGTGTAAGGGTCCGAAACTCCGTATGAGAAGCTGTTGTAATTGGCACCGTTGATGGCGCTGCTGTGTGCTACTGCTACCAGCAGAGCGAAGACTGCGATCTAGAATATAAGACGAAAATTAAAAAAAAAAAACCATGTAAAAATTTTATACTAAAGAATTTCATGACGTTATAAATAATATGATATTCATGATTCTAGAATAATTTAAATTTACCTTTGAGAACATGGTGTACTAGTTTCTTTTAACAACTGATGACTCTTATAAGATAATAGGCTTTATATAGTGTTTTTTCTTTAAAACTAGTTATTGCATCTACTATAGGAATTTACAAAAACAAACAACGATGTCATAAAAAACAGGAAGTAAAATCAATGAAAGTGTTTACCGCCAATACTCCTAGGTGTCGTATTTTGAATGTAAAATTTGTATTTTTTAAAACTTGCTGAATTAAAGATTTACCTTTATTTTATTTATTAATAACTAGTAAACCTGGCGAACTCCGTTTCGCAACCAGAAAGCTTTTATATAACATTTCGTTTGGTGATTAAAAGATGAAGAATTTTTTGTTTTATATTTGAAAAGGAATTTTTTTATTTCATTTCACAACAGTAATGAATTCATTTCGATTACAAAAATGAAGTGTGATTTAGTTGAACTTCTCTAAGTAAATGAAAGTGAATCCAAAGTAGATACCGAATCGAAGCGTTATACGTGTCCGCAAATTATCCGTTTCATTGAAGTGCTCCTTTGTAAACCACATTTTTTGTTTTTTGGTCTCACTTTAACACAAATAAAGCGTATGGTTTCCAAACTCGTAAACACGCAAAATATAACTGCCCATGTGAAAAACAATGATTTTCTAAATTTATCCCGCAAATACTAAATGGTTTTAAGAGTTCAAACTACAAACTGATCGACCAACTGATCGTCCAACTGATCGACCAACTGATCGACCAACTGATCGACCAACTGATCGACCAACTGATCGACCAACTGATCGACCAACTGATCGACCAACTGATCGTCCAACTGATCGACCAACTGATCGACCAACTGATCGACCAACTGGTCGACCAACTGATCGTCCAACTGATCGTCCAACTGGTCGACCAACTGATCGACCAACTGGTCGTCTAACTGGTCGACCAACTGATCGTCCAACTGGTCGACCAACTGATCGACCAACTGATCGTCGAACTGGTCGACCAACTGATCGACCAACTGATCGTCCAACTGGTCGACCCACTGATCATCCAACTGATCGACGAACTGATCGACCAACTGATCGTCCAACTGGTCGACCAACTGATCGTCCAACTGATCGACCAATTGATCGTCCAACTGATCGACCAACTGATCGACCAACTGATCGTCAAACTGATCGACCAACTGATCGACCAACTTATCGACCAACTGATCGACCAACTGATCGTCCAACTGATCGACCAACTGATCGACCAACTGATCGTCAATCTGATCGTCCAACTGATCGACCAACTGATCGACCAACTGATCGTCAATCTGATCGTCCAACTGATCGACCAACTGATCGTCCAACTGGTCGACCAACTGATCGTCCAACTGATAGTCCAACTCGCTTCTATCTAAAAACAAACAGGGCCTAACCCTCGCAGCGTCTACTCAGCGTTACACAATACAATATTTGAATCCAGTTCCGGCAATGAATCTTTAATATATGTAGGTACAAAAATATAACACGATTCTCATATAAATTTCTTTAACACGAACGAGAAAAACTTGTACAAGAATATATGTACTAAGAATATAGAAACTCTTTGGATAAAAAATGTATTTACTGGCTGACCTTTGTGGATGCAACATCTACGCGTGACATTTGATTATTAAGAAAAAATGTTGGTTAAATGAAGCCATAATATACAGGGTGACTGGTGAATTACTATCGATACTTGAGGACGTGATATTTGACGATCATATATGACAAAATAAAAATTAATATAACATAAATATTAATAAACTTCTAAGTAAAGTTAACCAAAAGTTATGTCATTAATTACGCATCGTGTGAACACCCTACAGATTAGGTATACACACACACAAACACACTCGCGCGCGGCGGCGTGGTGTTGTATCAGCACGCCGCCGCACGCGTCCTCACTTGGAACACTTGGAACGTGTCCACACTTCATTTATTTATACGGAAATTTGGTTAAAAATTAAGTACCTATTTTTTTACATAATTCGAATGAGAATCATGTACCGAGTATTCTCCTAAAATATTGATAGTAATTCACCAGTCACCATGTATATATACATATCCATATTACAAAATTAATATTTATTATTTATTTATATGAAATTGGTCAAGAATTTGCTTTTCTATGTACTTTAATCAAATGAACAGATGTTTTGAAGGTAATGCTTTTGGCGTTTGTAAATTTTTGTTGTACCTTTTTTGAATAAGTAGAAAAATATCATAGTAGAAAATATATATATATATATATATATATATATATATATATATATACTAGTATATATATATATATATACTAGTAAGCCTGGCGAACTCAGTTTCCCCACCAGAAGGCTTTTATATAACATTTCGTTTGGTGATTAAAAGATGAAGAATTTTTTGGTTTATATTTGAAAAAGAAATTTTTTATTTCATTTCACAACAGTAATGAATTCATTTCGAATACAAAAATGAAGTGTTATTTAGTTGAACTTCTCTAAGTAAATGAGAGTGAATCCAAAGTAGATACCGAATAGAAGCGTAATACGTGTCCGCAAATTATCCGTTTCATTGAAGTGCTCCTTTGTAAACCACATTTTTTGTTTTTTGGTCTAACTTTAACACAAATAAAGCGTATGGTTTCCAAACTCGTGAACACGCAAAATATAACTGCCCATGTGAAAAACAATGATTTTCTAAATTTATCCCGCAAATACTAAATTACATATCTGTTATTGTACGTCAATTGCATAGCTGTCAATTGTATTTCGTTATTCCACGTTTTATAGTGACTGACGTTTCATGTCAAGTCCCACGGGAATGCTGTTGAACGGGCAAAAAGTATCCTATTGCATTTTCCTGGCTCTAAACTACCTCCCCGCCAATTTTCAGCGAAATCAGTTCAGCCGTTCTTAAGTTATAAGTGGAGTCACTAACACGACTTTATTTTATATATATAGATGTCTCTCAACATAATTTTGAATAGGAGAGTAACATATTATTAAAAAATAATTATTTTATGCTTAAACAAATTGTTAATAATATTGCCCAACTAAGCAAAATTGAAACGAAACTACTAAAACTGCTTCGAACTTCCAAGTATGTAGGTTCCAAGAATGAATTTATGGTAGTTCTGAATAGGTTAAGTCTTTTAGTAGGTTGTAGAGAGATTTCACTGTTATATCTACGCTCCCAGTTCTACCGCTTAAAAATTTACGACGAACGAAATTTACTCTCTGTGAGTTAATTAGTGAACTTATAATATGTACTTATTGCCCTTGATGGCATGTTCTCTGGGGATGTTGGTTTCCCAAAGAACTATAAGCTCCATTAGCACATCACACTTTTAGTATTTGCAATTAAATAAGTAATTGATAAATATATGGTTGCAAAACTAATTTTAACGATTCTATAAGTAAATTTTAAAATAATCTTGAATTTTAATGGTTACAATGTAATGTCATTATAAATTATAGGAATTTATTTTAAGACTTTTTATTTTTGGAATATGTAGGTAAATGTCTTTCTTAAAATAGATTGTTTTTCAATAATTGAGTTTAAATAATAATTGGGTGTGCAAAATCAGTAATATTTCCTGTTTCAGTTTGCAGTCTGATTGTTGTTTTTTTTTTCATTAATATAATCATATAGAAAAAAATCCTATATAAAGAACATGTATTCAACTCAGTCATCAGTCGTTTTACAATTAACTATAAAAACATGTTCTCAAAGGTAGTAAAAATGTATTTATTTTTGTATAAAATAATAATTCATTCATGTTTTCTTTAAGTGACCAATTTTTATCATAATGGAAATAAAGATATTTATTCAAATTATAGGTAATAGTCTTCCTGCTACTGGTAGCAGTAGCACACAGCAGCGCCATCAACGGTGCCAATTACAACAGCTTCGCCTACGGAGTTTCGGACCCTTACACCGGAGATGTGAAGAACCAACACGAGACTCGTGTGGGTGACAACGTGGTCGGACAGTACTCCTTGTTGGAATCTGACGGCTCTCGGCGGACTGTGGACTACGCTGCTGACGCACACTCAGGTTTCAACGCTGTTGTACGCAAAGATCCCGCTCTGATCGCTCACGCTGCCCCCGCTCCCGTTGCCGCTAGTTTCGTCGCTCCAGTCGCAAGAGCTGCCTACTACGCCTCTCCTTTATCCTACGGAGCTGCTTACGACTCATACGCCGCTCCTTTTGCCCGTTATATCCCTTATGGAGCCTATGGCGCTTACGGATTCGGTTATGGTGCTCGGTTAGGATGGTAAACATTAGAAATCAAATGCTGTAAATATACATAATATATGGAATATATGATAAAATTATTAAGTTTTTGTTTTTATCATTTTTGCATATGTATCATAAGAAAAAGACGTGGTAATTATACTGTGAATGATATCACAGCTATCATTTCTAAATTTTCTTTTTTTATAGTGACTTTAAAGCTCCATTCTAGTTCTTTAATTGTTTCTTTCCCAAAAGATAAAAAAGGCGGGCTTAGTTCTATAGGCATTCTGTATAACATACCTGTCAACCTTAAAGATATAAAAATTCTATGAAACAAGTAGGTGCTAAGAGGAAGAAATTTAAAATCTGAACTAAATTAAATTGATTATAAAATTAAATAGAATGTAACTTGATCTTCTACAATAACCTTGCATAATTTCTAATATAGATAATATTAAAATGAGAAATAAGTAAAAACAAAAAATATATAAGATAATATTTGTTATTATAAGAACTTATAAATTCTTTGAACAAAAATGTTAAAGTCCTCTTGAAGATCTTTGGGTTGGCAATATATTTTATAAGTATTAGTAAGCTAACTAGCTACAAAACTATGTAACTATGAAAACATTTGGGAGTACAATCTTCGGCAACGGATAGTCAGCCGTTTGAACTGAAAATAGGATAGAGATATATTAAGCTTATATTTCTGACAGCTAAAAATGAATCGAATACAAGAGTTAAAAAGTCGATCCAACTTATTTAACCTATTTTA